CAGGCTTGGGCAGGCCCGAGATTTCGTACAATTTGTGATTGCGCAACCACAAAATGATATTAATATTAGGATTCCCAGGGGTTGGTGTGAGCGGAGATCAATTTGCGCACGATCAGTCGCATGTGGACGGGGCTTGGCGTCCGCTTGAGGTGGGATGAGCGTCTCCCATGCTGGTTACGGTCTTGTCATCCCGACATGTTTCAAGATGCCTGGTGGTGGTGGTCTGTGAAGTGTGATTGTTCGCGTAAATGGCACGCGCCCGACACGAACGTCTGAGGGGTTTTGCCACACCCAAGACACGGTTGAAGGCATCCACTATGGTCATGGTGGTAATGATGGGATGGAGCAAAAAAACAAAAAGGACGAACCTTGGAAACGTGCATCCAGACGGGAAGCACTGACCGATGGGCGGGGTATTTAGTGGTAAGCAAGTATTGCAGCCGGCCTCATTATCCGTGGGACACGAGGCGATAATCCAGTGGGAATATGCCGATTTGCAACAGATAGGCGTTGCTACTCACGCTTGTTGCTACGGAAGAGCGGGTGATGGTTATTGAAACATGCAGCATGCTATCTACAGGGCGTTTCCAGGGACAATGGAAAAGTTTGCTCGGTCGTGCCAATATGCACAGATGTTCTGACAAGTGCATGCGGTGTCCAGGTAACGCTCTTTAAGCGATGAAGCTGAAGGCCCGGGATGCCTTCATGACGAATCATCTGCAGGCCGGCCGCAAGACTGCAGACGTCGGTCCCTCGTTGCTAGGGAGAATGGCGAGCCCGTTTTTTTTTCACCCCGACACCACCAGCGAGAAAAAAAAAGATCCGCTTCTTGGAGACAAAGGCAGAAGAAATTTGCAGGTGGTGAAGCTGGGTGTGAAGATCGGCCCACTTGAGGCAAGCACCGTGCCGTGAAGATTGTCCGACCGAGGCAGGCGTGAGAAAGGGCAGGGAGTAAGATGGAGAAAAAACGACTGCAGACTGGATCCTTCAAGTCGCGTGCGCACAGTCAAGTACTTTAAGACGCGTTCAGTTCGCGACTTGTGACATAATGTTTGCGTCGCAGGCGTGCTTAGGCGCAGCCGTGGCTGGCGGTGCTACGGCTCTGCATGTCGGCTGGCTACTAGCTGCAGCAAGGCCATGGGGGCAAGACGTGTCAGGAGCGTGAATGCGGAGTAATCGCGTCGACGCACACGTGCTTTTTTCTTTTTCTCAGATGATGGATGTGGAATGGCAAGATGGCGCTAATGGTAAGATGCTTGATTGTGCGATTATGTGCCCAGCCGCGGTTCAATATCCGAAGCCGGACCAGCTGATGAATCGGGGAAATAATATGGTATGTACGTACAGGGAACTACATGGAAATGTACGTATGGATGTAGCAGGCCCGGCAGCGCTTGCTACACACGTGTGTGCACTGGCAGTAGTAGCGATGGATGGGCATCATTGCAGACCGAGAGGGCTTGGAATGCAGTAAGTATGACGGGCACAAGTACGCAATCGTGGATGACGGCGGGATGAAGATGTGCAGGTCATCCAAGGCAGATGTGGAGGTGCTAGTGGGGTGGGTTGTAGGGCCGAGTGGGTGCTAGTAAGCCTGCAGGAACTCGACGCCATTTGACACTTTGTGATGCAGCCGCGCAGAGCTTGCACTCGCCTAATGTGAGGAGCCGTGGCCCGCATGGCATGCTAGTTGCGAGGCGATGATATGCACGTACTTACCGTGGGCATCTAGGGCATCGACGTTTGCGTCGTTGCTTGTGGAAGATGGATGGTAAGCAGAGCAAGCAGAGGGTAGAATGCTACTTGGCCAGCCGGGCCTGAGGGGGCTAGGGAGGGGGCTGCATGCGGCGCCTTGTGGTCTTTGTGCGCAATGGCGCTCCCTACAACAAGGCAGGTGTAAGTAAGTATGCCAGTGACTCCATTGCGCCCGCGGTGCTGTATGATGTTGAGCAAGGGGACGGCTAAAGCGGGAGGTTCAAGGGCGTTGGGGTGGGACGCTTTGGGGCTGGCTCGGGCTGGGCAGGAGCAGAATTGGCAATTTCACGCCCTCTGCTAGGTTCAGACACGCGTTGCTAGTAGATTGAGCCAAACGCGTGGACCCCGGCCTGCGCCCGCCAACAGCCAACGATGGCAGCCGAGCTGGACAGCCTCGGGCGGGCGAAACACCAAATGCTATTTGCTGCCACTGACCAAACCGTGGTTTCAACGGCCGGCACCGCGGGCAGGGCCAGCCAGCCAGCCAGCCAGGCCAGTGTTGCACCAGCTGCACCGACGGCGGCGCGAGGGGGTGTGCCGTCGAGTCATCCGCGAGCCCTGGGCGGGCGGTGGTTTCCTCCTGGGGGCTGCAAAGGGGAGGGGGCTCTGTTGCTCCAGCGCAGCACAGCACAGCACCGCCAAAGCGGCTGTCGACGACGACCTTCGCAGCGACTGGCGAGATACGACGCGCGACAAGGATGCAACGTGCCGGCAGGCTGCTTTTGCTGGACCTAGTGCGGCCGAGTGGTAAAAGGAGGAGGCCTTAGTCCCTCCGCTGGCCAGATGATGACGATGTGGGATCAAAGGGCCCCCCGCCTGGCCGAGGCCTAGCCTCAGCAGCGCATAGTGTGTCAGGGGAACCACGACGCTGCGTAAATGCAAACAGCGAGTGCGCCGGCCCAGCGCCCTATGCTCGCCGCTTGGCCATGTCCAAAGCATCTTGTTTCCTGTGCGCGGGCGGGGGGAGACATTGGACAGCCATCGCAGGCCATGCTGCAACCTTGTATAGCTCTGCATGAGTGGCCTCACCGGACCTAGCCCACGCCGCTGATTCGAGCAGACGACATGCTCACGGTGCAGCCACCGCTCAGCTCAGCCCAAGCCCGTCCGCGCTGCCCGTCCATCCCCTCTATCCAAACCCATCCTCCGACAACCTGCCCGCTGTAACTAAGCAGTAATAATAATAACACTTGGCTGCTTCTGCCACTGCCTACCTGCTGGCGCGGCCGGCGGCGGTGCGTTGGGCGAACAAGCAAATAGCCAGAGCACACACACACACACCCACACCCACACCCACTCACTCGCGCACACACGCACAGCGCCGGCTGTGTCGCGACAGCCTGCGGGAGCCGCGACATTGAGTAGTGACATTTGGCGCAGCACACAGACACGACTAGCACGCGTTCAACGAGCGTGTTCCTGGACGAAGCTTCCCAGGCGCAGAAAACGCCATGGTTGATCCACAATGGGGCACGACGGCGGCGGAACATGCATCGGTTGGCTGTGCGCTCTGGGCGTACGAGGTTCCCTGTTCCCATGCTGTACAAGCTGCCGTCGCCCGCATCCGGCTAGTCCATCTCTCCTAGGGCCTTGCTCGCCCACTCGTTTTCTCCAGCCTGCCTCCGTCTGTATCGTGCTCTCTTCTCCCTCTCCTCTCCCTCCCTCCCATATCCTCTCTTTCATTACGGTCGAGCACGGAGAAACTTTGGATCTGATGTGGTGCTGACACTCTCGGCTCCTGTCTTTCCATAAAACTCCCCGCCTCCTGCTCTCGGTCACCCACTCCCGACCGCCGTCTCTCCTCGAATAGGACCGTGAAGAGTACCAGACTCCCTGTGCCCTCCACCGCTACCCATTCATCCGCCGACTCCCTCCCTCGTCTCTCGCTGGACGTAGAGATACTCGCTGTACTCTAGTCCTTCGCTCCGCATACAGCCGCCAACCCCCACAGACCCCCCTGTATCAACAGCCTCGCGTGTGACAATTGGGCTCTCATCTCGGTAGGTTAACCCTCTTTCTCCCATCTAGCTCCGGATTCCCCGGCCTGTTTGTCTTTGGATCCTGCGACCGACATTTCCTCCCCCCAAATACCGTATTCGACACCCACCCTATGGACCAAAGCGAGGTTGAGTCAGCTGGAAGGAGGTAGCTTGGCAAGTGTTCAAGGTAGATTGGTAAGGGCGTCCCATAGGCGGACGGGGTTATGTTTGGAGTCGAGGTGTATGGCTCTGTTGGAACTGTGTCTGGAAGGCCCAGGTATGGGCGTTTGGTTGCGTTCCAGGCGTGCGGATTATTCTTGCCCGTTGTACCATCGACCAAGAGGCCGCCTCGGCAATATCACGATACTCCCTTGCAATCACAACTGCATGCCATGCCTGCGTCCGTCATGATGCCACGTCCGACATCTAGAGATCGACCGTCAACCAGAGGTATTCTTCGGCTCATTGCCATGGGTGAGCTTGCAATATGGATTTGCTCTTCACGATTCACCGCTCGTCACCTGACCTTGCCGGCACTACTGTGGCTCCGTATCCGATCACGCCGCTCTCGTCTTAGTCAGGCGTCCACTTCCACGGCTCTCACCATCGACGAACCCCCATTTGTATCGCCAGTCGGAACCTCCAGGATTGTTTCTCTACCTATCAAGGCTTTTGCCTCTTCACACACAAACACTGACCATCTTCCCCTTTAGACTGTCTGCCACAAGCCGCACCAAGCTTCCACCAGCGCCGAACAAGTCTTGCAACGTAGGTGCTCACCATTGTGACGTTTTCATGACATGTACTGACCCTTGTTCAGACCTAGTATCCAATTACGGATACTTGTATTGTAATTCATCTTCTGGCGATTTACCCAACCCGGCGGACTCGTTAGCTCGTGCTCTGCCCCATTTCGAGACCCCGTTCAATTTCAAACTGTCTTCTGGATGCAATTAGCAAGGAACTCGCCCTCTTCGACTTCTTCCACTGTCTTTTTTTGTGTTTTTGCACATACCTCACTCGCTCACTAACATAATAGCACTAATTCTGTCAAGGTATGTGGCGCGCTCAAGGTCTTGGCATCAAGTCAAGCAGCTTAGATCAACCACTAACACGATTGGACTAGGCTCTGTCCACTACAACTGGTTCCCGATATTACGCACTCACCAAAGTCGGACCACACAGACCTTCACCTATACCAACTAATAACAGTCTCTACACTCGTTGCCCTCCAGGCTGCCACTCTCTAATCCAGCTCACCTTTTGAAGCTATCCACTCACTCAACCACTATACTACCCACGTCTATCCCGGAGACCTGACGATCACCACCTTGACATACCGACACCATTTCACAATGGCGTACGACCAGCAGCAGCAGCAGTCCCGCTACGGCAACTGCGACTCGTACTTTGTCGAGTCACATGACGATGGTGTCTACGCCATGCGAGCCGAGGCTAGAGAAAGGCACCGAGCCGTATCCAAGATGCAACAACGAGCCATCGCTGAAGAGCTTTCCAGGCTAACAGCCGATGAATACCAAGAGGATATCATGCAACACATGATGCACATGGAATCACAAACCCTCCCCGATGTCAACTCTATCGACATCCAGACTGAGATCCAGTGGTTCATGCGCCCATATCTCCTTGATTTCCTGGTAGAAGCTCACGCTGCATTCCAGCTCCTCCCCGAGACTCTGTTCCTTGCCGTCAACCTTCTCGATCGCTACTGCTCCCGCCGTGTCGTTTACAAGCGTCACTACCAGCTCGTCGGATGTGCTGCCCTCCTCATTGCTGCCAAGTACGGCGACAAGAAAGATCGTGTACCTACTGTACGGGAACTCAAGTCCATGTGCTGCTCTCTGTACGACGATGAGATGTTCACCCAGATGGAGTGGCACGTGCTACAGACTCTCAACTGGATGATTGGCCACACCACAGTCGATGCATTCCTCCAGATTGCGCTGTCCGAGGCCCCATACGATGCCGAGGTTGAGCACATGACGCTTTACATTGCTGAGATTGCACTTTTCCACAAGGAGTTTGTTTCCACGCGCCCATCTGTTCTCGCACGATCTGCTCTCGCTCTTGCGAGGTGCATCCTTTCGCGACCACAAGCACGCAACACCGACTGGTCTGGCGCCTACGACCCACAAACAGTGATTGGCCTATCCAACCACCTGTACCAGCCATCTCCTGTGCTCTCTCGCAAGTATGCTTCCATGCACCTGTCAGCCGTGTCTGCTACCGTCGATGAGTTCCTTCAGCGACAAGCACAGATCGCGCGCCGACAAGCAGCTCCGCCAACACCGCCGCCTACTGTAGTCATTGACGAGCCCAAGCCTGCTTCGGAACCGTTTGGCCCTCAAACACCTAACAAGAACCCATACGCCTCTGTCATGCAGAACGGATGCCCTACCCCGCCAATCACACCTGAAGGCGAGCAGTTCACGTATGGTCACGTTGTCAAGTCGCAGCCTGCTTCCCTGTATCCCACCACACCTACATCGGAGCATGCGCCACCCCAACATCAGGGTCAATACTTCCACAACCAGTATCTCCACCCCCAGCACATGTAAGCAACTACTTGCGCCAGGTAGTGGCTGGTCATCTTCTCTGTCAAAATAACTCCCACCCTCTTGGGCCGTCTCGTCATTGTCCAAGAGGGTTGCGTTGTACCAAAAACACTCGTACATGTGCCTCTTTGCACGGTAATCCTTTCTAGCATCTCCAAGCGTTTGTTCCCTGTTATTCTGCGATATCAAAGAACACCCCTTTCCTGTTTCGAGCATTTTCTTTTGTTAAGTCCGACCAAAAAAATACTGCACCCTCGCCCGCTTCTTGGCCTACTTGCTCTAGTCAGTGGCTCGGTTTGCGGGGCCTAGGTCAAGTCGAGTACCCTTCTTCTTGGACATTGTCTCCATCTAATATGGGTCTTCCGACCTGCACCCACGGCTTGAGGGGAGGAAAAGCGGCTGGAGGGTGAAATTGGAATACAAGCAAGCAAGCACAATCAAGCTCACTCGCAGATGTTGTTTGCTTAAGCGAGCAGAGATACCCTTCTTTTTTTTCTCAATTGGAATCTTTTTTTTCGGGCCCCCTTTTTTGTTCCATGGGTGTCCGATGTTTGTCTTTTGCGTGTTTGGTGGGATGGTGAAGAGGGAGCGTGGGCATGCTACAAGCATGGTTGACGTCTAGATTGTACTTGACAGCGGGGCTGGAAGCGCTACGAACATCAAATAGCTATAGAAACGGTCGCCCTTCACCACTTGGTTCTCCTTGCACGCATTTTCTCTGGTGTATCCATGTCTATGTGTTTCAGCCTGTGATGGACCCAGCAACTTGCGTTGGGCGAGTGGATGCTTTGATGTTATGCGACGCAAGCTACGTCCACTTGCCACAGGTTTCAAAGTAAGCAATGCAACTTGAAGTCTTTAAGATTGCCATGCTCTGCCCATCGAGCAGTCAAGCACTACATTCACGTCATTTCGATGCATATGTTGGCGAGTATGCCTCTAGTGAGTATTCCCAACACACGGCGCCTAGGCGGGCCCTACGTATCAGCGCCTTCAATTCACTAACCGCTCAAGATCTCCATAACCGCTACCAGCACACCCACGGGGGGCTACCGAATCTTCTCGCCCTACACCGACGACGACACGGCATTTGCAAACAACACGCTCTGTCCGCGATATGCCGAGTGCGATCCGACATCCGCCCCACCGTCTCCTGCATCCATCGAATCGCTCGAAATCTTCGACAGCATTCCTTGGCGAAGAGACTACATCGCGCTGGACCCGCGTACCAGGGCCAGACGTAACCGACTACGTGCAGAATGGATGCAGAATAAACTCCGCGCCACAATCGTAGTTGTACTTTTGCTGCTCGCCGTCCTGGCTGCCGGCATCGCGCTAGTCCTCTATCTATCTGTTGCGCATGAAAAAAGCAAGTGAGAAAGGAAAGGAACAAAAAAAAGAGAGAGACAGACAGACAGAGAAGGGGGGGCAGGTCGGGGATGGTGTGTGTGTGACGCACATACTCCTCCAAGACTCAAACATGAGGCGAACATTTGCAGGGTACCCACCACCACCACCACCCCCCAAAAGAAAACCCGCAGAGCATGGCCTTTTTGAGAGAGAGAGATCCCCGGGGAGGAGGACAGTAGTTAGTGGCCTTTGAACGATTGCGTATGCCCACAGTTTCGCATACGGTCATGCTCCTCATAGCTACAGGACCACACAGCTTCCTTTCCAAAGTGGGTTGACAAACGCAGACGTGGCATGGGCTATTTTCCAAGGACGAACCCGGTAATACATACTAGGCAGTATCTTGGGAGTGGAGAGGAGAGGGGTTGGCAAGGCAAGACATTTGTCCGCAAGGAAGTACCCTTGAGAGCCTGCGCCCCCNCCCCTGTTCCGCGGGTGTGCTTACTTGGAGAGAGCGAGGTAGGACACTTGGGCTTTTGAGCAAAAGGAGCAGGTTGTGTGGGTCTAGAAAGGTGTTTGCTTTGAACGGGAATACTAGTTTAACTCCCCTTTTTGCTTACTTTTGTACTACTACTTGGTGGTACACACACACATACACAGAGAGAGAGAGAGAGAGAGAGAGGAATATACGGCAGGACATTACTTAGTAGTCGCTGATGATCAACAAATAATACCAATGATATCGTACGTTGAGGGAGACCCATTTTTTTTAGGGAGCGTAAGCGTTTTATTTTAGGGGACGGAATTGCGTGTTTATTATTGTTGCCCTTTCCCTCCCCTTTTACCTGACCCTTTCTTCCGTGGAACAAAGTTCGGCCCCAATGCGTTGGTCCTTTGGTGTGTGTGTATGTGTGTGTACTGGGATGATCCCTTCTTTCCTTTGCTCTGCTGGTCCTTTTTTTTTGGTCTTACCGGGGGTTTATTAGGACGAATGAACGTTGAAAGGTTGGAACTACCTGGAAGCGGTAAATAATATTGTTGTGGGGTGGTTTATGCGCTCGGATTATTTACGGATCCACCCGGTTGTTCCCCTGGGCGATTAGGTGAAAGTGGGGAAGGAGGATGGTTGTTAGCGAAATGGGAGGGTTGTTGCCTTGCGTGGCGAGTTGGGAAAAGGTGCTTGGTGAGTTTGAGTAAGTGTATGTACGGATGGTGAGAGGTGCGTTATCGTGATCACGTGGGTGGTGTCTTATCGTGAGGTTTCGCGATAACAGCAACCTAAAGGGGAGAGAGAGGAGAGATGGGGCTGTGCTACTGTACGTCAGACATACATACACAACAAGCAGTGGTGACGATGCAAGCCCGTGGTATAGATTTCGCATCATACATGATAAATGTCTGAATTCCATAGTCGCAGGCTTCTGCGCACTCCGTCTCCTCCACTCCGTCGTGCTTCACCCAGCCCATCTACAGTACACAAACGCGCAATATGGCCCTTGGTACTCCTCCTCGTTCTCGTCCATCTTTCAGCTGTCTTGTATACGCTTCCGCTTAATCGGGTGATTGAACTTCGTCTATGTCAAGCGCATTACGAGCTGCGTGATCCATCGGCCATACGGCCAGATGGCTCGATACCAGAGAAGCTGTGTAAAATAGATGATGTGCAGCGTCGTCTTGCGTGGTTGCAAGGTACTATGGAGACGACGCTTGTTGTTTGTGGTATGTGGGTGATGATTTTTATTTATTCTCCTCGGTACTGATACCACGCTCACAGACTTCATCGTAACAATACCATTCAGCTTTGTCGCTGAGAGATGGGGCATCAAGATTGTACTGTTGTGCAACTTGGTGCCGAGGATTTTCATGAGCGCCTGGGCTATGCTTGTTGGTATGTATCCTCATTACCTTTTCTACCACATTGCATGTGATATTCTGTTCTAAACATTCTATCAGGAAATCTCCCGCATATCCTCCCTACCAATGCCATTATCGCCAGCCCATTCCTCAATGTCCTTGGAGGCGAATGCGTATTTCAGTCCACCATTTTCACATTGACTTCGGCACTGGCTTGTGAATATGTGGAACGGTATGTCAACCACCCAACTTCAGATATCACAAGAAACTAATCCACTGAAGAGCATCCTACTTCTCCTATATCAGTTCCACATCCTACATCGTCTCCTTTCTCGGACCAACCCTCGCTGCATTCACCATGAGCAACAGTCTCTGGCTCCCCTTCTGGCTCAACATCGCTCTCCTCCTCTGTGCCATACCAACTATCAGCTTACTCCCTTCAATTTCAAAAACACCAACTCTCTCTACGACCTCAGATTCCGTTTCCCAAGACCCAGATGAAGAAGCCGGACCATTGCTTCCAGGCAGAACCACCAGACATGGCGAGGACTTTGAAAGGCATGCCAGCTTCTTCCAAAGCATACTGCACGCAACACGCAAAATGAGACGTTTAGTCATTGGCCGCCGCAAATTCCAAGTCCTGCTTTGCTCCTTCTTTCTTACTGCGCTAGCGAGTTCAGACACGAAGTTGCTGGTGCAATATATCTCCAAGCGATACGAGTGGACTTTTGCACAGGCAGGCTACATGCTCTCCGCCAAGGCACTGGTGAATTTCACCTTACTGGCTATAATCGTCCCGCGCATCATTCGGACCTCCATGTCGTCAAAGACGGTCCACGGGTCTGAAGTGCGGCTTAATATTATAGGTGCAGAAGTAAGCATTGCGGTTTCGGTGGTGGGCGTGCTGTGTGTGGCACTAGCGTCCAGGTTTTGGATGCTGCTTGCTGGTACGTAGACAGGATGGCGTTAATCGGGTAGAGATATGCTGACATTCACTGCTAGCTTTGATTTTATATGCTCTTGGCTCTGCGCTGCCAGTTTTTACCATGTCGCTGGTCAAGTCACCTCTTATTGCGCTGGCGCATTCGGATGTCCAGGACTTCAGTATAGTCATGCTGACCAAGACGCTTGGGTCTTTGGTTGGTGCTCCTTTGATGACTGTTCTGTGGGTCCAGGCTATAAAGCTTGGGGGTATTGGTGTTGGCTTACCGTACTTTTTCTCTGCTGTAAGTTATGTCATCGATCGGATGAACAACTGGCTAATTCATCACGTAGTGTATATATCTCATTGCAGCATTCGTCATTGCACGCTTACGAAACTAAAGAAAGATTTGGTATCAACTGGAGATGCACATTCACACCAGGTTCGCTTCTCAGTTCCGTATAGCTAGAACAATAAGTAGAGCAGGGAGAATCGACAAGATCCATGCGCTAACACCAAACGTTCCCTTGATATCATACTGAAACTATGACCAAAGGATGTCAAAGAGAAAACTAGCAATGAAGAAAACAACGAATATATCCAAGAGGATGATATCGCGGTCATAATTTTCTTGACAGAAGACACCCCACGTCACAGTGGGCTCCCAACAAGCATCTGCCCTAGGCGGAAGGCTCGACCTTGGGTGAAGGGGAATAGAAAAATATTCAAGCTTTTACGTTAAGCGAATGTCAAGGATATCGTATGCACTTTAAAGACTAATGAACAAAATAAATTCCAAGTAAAAGAGGATAACGCCTAAGAAATGACCTTGTTGATGTTAAAGTGCAAAAAGACGATCGCCTCTCTACACCGTATTGAGCAGTAATATATACTCTCAACAGTTGAAAGGCTTCGCTATCTAAGGCACATGTGCATCCAACACTTCTCTGCTACAACTCCTCTGCTCCAACCAGCATTCTGTGCGAAACCCGTTCTCGAAAACCATACCTGATGTGTTGCTTTGAGGTGCACCTTCGAGCAGTTGGTGCGTCGATAGTCCGTAACCTATTCCAGCAATCCCGCAATCGTGCTTTACTGCTAGCTTGGGGACTTTCGTTGCACATTTCCCGCACTGGAATTCTTAATTGTTTGCTGGGGGCTGTCTATTCCCCTCTTGATACCAATCTTCAGCCTGGTCGTAGTTGGGATGTCTCAATCTGCTTTCGTTCATTCTTGGGCTGTGGAAGTCACGTTCTTGGCCCTGTACTTGTCGGTTGCTGCAATGCGGGCTATTCAAGCTTCTCTCTGGACCTTGTAGCTGTTGGGTACAGTACTGAGGGCTAGTGAAATTTCCCTCCAAAGGCTGTGCGTGGTGGTTACCATGCCATGACGGCCCCCAACGCTCCGCCCTAGAATCGTCTGCTCTATAAGGCGATAATTCTTGTGGTGAGACGAATCGATTGCTAGAGGCCTCACTGAACCTGGGTGTTGCTTCTCCAGCATGATTTCCCTGACTTGACAGCGGCACAACTGCCCTGGCCGTCATGTGGGCATAGTCCGGATGTGGATGACCTCTACTGTGACGGCTAGGTTGTAACAAAATTCTTTCGGCTTCGTTGTTCTCATTTCCTACGAAATTTTTCCCCGGAGCGTCGAGAGTGTAGTTTCTAATTTCGGCATTTACGGAATCTTGCATCCGGCCATTGAACATTGAGTTATGACCAGCGATCTTGACATCCGTCATTGTGAACTAGATTGTTGTCAGTATTAATATACATCAAAACTAAAGAATCAAGCTTTACAGTGAGCGTTCTGGTAGGCTGATGAGCCGACTGGTTTGGATGCGGGTCCATGGATGCGCCAGTTGTATCCTTAGCGCTGTGAGATGCGCCCCTTCTATCTGACCCTGTTACAGGAGTTTCCACACAAAGCTTCTCACAAGATGATTCAACCCTCTGTCGAAGATCCACGAGGGCTTCTTGATGTTCTTGAGAGATGTATAAATGCAGTAGATTCCTCTTCTTATCAAGTGTTTCGAACGCTAATATGATCTTATCTTTTGATGTGACTGGCGCCCAGTCAATAACAAAGATTCGCTTTGGCTTAAGGAGATGTAGCACCTGACATGCGATACCAGATATGGATATCAGAACAGGGAGGACGGGACTGTGGTCGTCGTCGTCGACGTGTTGACGGCCGAGGCGTTGAAGAGTATAAAGTAATAGCCTGATATTCGTTGCTTCGTCACGGTAAATCGAATTGCAGTGAACGAACTCAGTGTAAAGTCTCTGGAGGCTAATAGCCGATGAGGATAAGTAAACCAGGAGCTGGCTAACGCTTGCTGCACAGCCAACGAGTTCCATATTTGTATTGTATTGAAGACGGGACAGGTTTGCGGAAATTTGACGATGAAGGACCATCAGCCAGGTGGAAATCAATCAAATAGAAACCGCCGCCTGATTTTAGTTGTCTACGTTGAAGAGCATGCAGCCACAGGAAGTTGGTGGTAATAAGCGAACCCATGTCAGCCTGTTCTATCCCATCAACACACACACACACACACACACACACACACACACACACACACGCAAAACCAACGTGGCACCATAAGGTCATCTCAAAATACTATAATCCGGTGAATTTGACTTCTGGTATCGTTTCAAAATGATCTGCAAGGCAGAAATCAGCCTCTCGTGCCATGATTTAGTTTGCGCATACCCTTTCGTAGGGTTACACGAAATGCAGCCGCAACGTGACACAGCCTTCCTGTATAAATTTTGTCCAAATTTCTAGCAAATAAGATAGTCTGAGCAGTCTTCTTACAGCATGTTAAGCTACAAATGCTTCCCTATTGCTATCCGTACTAATCAGGTCGGGGTATGCGTCGATGGAAGGAATCATTTCGCCCCCATAGCCAGCGTAGTCTGTACCCGTTTCGATAGACTTGAGGGTAGAATGACGGATGCTAAAGTAATCCCTGAGAAGGCTACGTTGTCACTGCCTAAGCGCCAGTCCTTTGGCAGATACAGCGTCTGCAACCTTAATTGGTAGCCCAATACCAAGAGGTAACGCACGGCATACTACCCCTATGTCTTCACCGGAAATATACCCTGTATCATTCGCTGGGGTAGCTCTCTGATCCTAGGAGCCTGTTTTATAGCCACGATAAGCCATTTTGGCTCCAAGAAATTTGTGATGCCAACACAGGCCTGCAGTGCTACTTCTCCAACCCCTCGCCTTCGACTTTCTGCTCTTTCGGTACTCACACGCATACAAGGAAGGTACTCAGCCTTAGCATATCCTTAATCCAACAGAATCCACCCTCAGGTATTACAATATGGCAGATACTCCTAACATGCATTGCGAGATGAGGGAGAACCTTATCTCTGGAACGAATCAGGTCGGCAACCGTGACATCGGGAGAGACACAGTCCAGAACAGTATCAGTTTTAGAGGTTCCGGGAGAGATCTTATACTAGGATTGGTGGGTTTGGTGGTTGTTGTGGGAATAGTGGCTGTGGCCGTTACCGTACCTCTCAAACTCGTGCACAACACCTCTGGAGCCTCCACCGACAGCGGATCTGTGAGCACATCAAGTCCAAATACCAAAACAACCAGCTCACAAACAAGCAGAAAGATCTCAAACCATCCACAAGTTTTCCACTCTCTTCAAGTATCTTGGAAGCTCCACCTGAAAAGCCTGCCACTCCAGCCTCGTCATACCCCCTTATGTCCGCACTCGCCACCGCACTCTCAAGCATCAGCCGTGCCACCTCTCCAACGCCCCAGCCTCCCGCTCCTGCGATCCAGTCTGCCTCCCCAATACTCCAATCACCCTCCCCAACCCGAAAAGAAGCAATAACGTCCTATGCCGCCCTCCTCACCCCGGGCGCACTCTGCACTGCAGACTCGCAATGCTCGCCAAACATCTGCTACAAGGAACCCAATACCGTGACGTACTGCTGCGGGCCAACGATAACGGGGTGTCCCGGGTGGCCGTGTAGCGACCCGGGACATCGCGACTGCAAAGATCCGTTCAAGTGTGACTTCCAGGCGTTCACTTGTTCGTTGGGGTAGAATAAGGGAAAGAGGTAGAGTAGGGGCTGGGGTTAGATGTGGCAGTACGATGAGATTCTCTCCTTTATTTTGTTTTACTCTTTTTGTTAGCAAGCATAAGGGAGGTGGTTTTGAACGAGCGTACTGTTTATTTAACCGATGAGGATACGTATTTACTGTACAGAGGTTGTATCATATGCAGTCATGTCTGTAAGTAGTTGCCTCGGCATCTTGTACGTAATAATACAGTCTGATTCTTAGACCGCTGTCTATGCTAAAAGCAAGTCTCTTCTCAGCAACGCACAACAAGACTTAACAACTGACAAACTAACCAAAAAAAGAAAAGAAAACTGGGATTATCAGTTTTACTGGAACAAATCATCTTCTTCATTCTTACGCACACTACACAGAAAGAAATCTGCCGTACAAATATCTCCTGAAGCAACGAAGCCCACACATATTCCAAAAGGGGGGGAAGACAGCCCCACCGTCCCGAGATATGCAATCTAGCGCATCTTATAAAAGTATAGAGGCAAGATAATGAGATAAAAAAAGAGGAAAAGTCATGGTACATGGGTAGTGGTGTGGTGATATAGCGACCTAGAGAAGAAATAAGCAGCGCGATAACTCCTTTTTTCTCTATCTCCCTTAGAAATATGTGCGTGTATACCAAAAAAACACAACAGCCTCCCCTACATGTTCTCCGTTATGCCTAAAACGCCATGCATGGGTGAATGCATCCGACAGCCCCAACAACCTAAACCAAGAGGGGAAGAAGAGGGGGTATGTACAAAGTGATTACTGAAACTCTAGCGACGTGCTTGTGTCTGAGAGAACCAGTCATCTTGCGTAGAGTGGTATTGTCTCCGCATTTCCGCCTCCTCTTCTTCTTGGCTTGATCGAAGGATCTCTTGCATGGCCTGGATATCGTTGATGATGACGTTGAACGCTTCGGTGACCTCCTTAAGGACAACGTTGCGGTTGTAGTCGGATCGGTGCTTCCAGATGGCATCCATGAGCGCGGCATTGATTTGCTCTAGTTGTTCGAGTGAACAACCGGATGTAGACTGCACAAGCTTATCGTGCAAGGCCGTAACAAGTGCATCGTCGATAATGAGCTGAGGCTTCGGCTCCTCGTCATTCAAAATCTGGTTGAGATTCGAGTGATGTGGAGGTGCAGGCGCTGGCATGGAAGTAACATATTGCGGTGATTGCGAGGGTTGAGAGTTTGACGGTTGACTGCTGACGTAGTGGACTTCTGTTTTGGGGACGTGGTCAGTTGTTGGTGCTGGGGAGATACGGGGCGAGAGTTGGAAGCGTCGAGCAAAGAAATTTGGCGAACCTTGTGTGTCAGGAAGCTGTGAGCCGCTCTGTTCTGGCAGCATCTCCGAAAAGTTGGGGATGCCAGTGGGGGCAACACCATTGCTACTCTGAGTACTGAACTTGTTGTCTGAAGACCTGTGCGAAGTCTTTTGACCAGAAGTTGTCGTGGAAGCGCTGTTGTGGTAGTCATTGGGATGCGAGTTCGGCGCCATGAATGTGCGACCCGCAATCTGCGACTTCTGCGTCTGAGTTCCCTGAGTGTCAATCCTACTTGGAGTCTGGAAGTGGAAATCATGTTGCGTATTGGTATTCAAATCTTGGCTGTCAGTCATGTGTGTGTCATCGTTGGAAGGCGCGGTAGAGCCGTTGGTTGCGTGCTGTGTGCCATTAGATAACTCCGCAGCATGAACAGGCCGCAACGGAGTTACAGGTGGCATAGCCAAGTGCCCAGGAATGGGTTCGCCCAAGACAATAGGCCCCGAGGTCTCCGTTGTACCGATTGACTGCTCAGGAGGCACCCGGGCGATATCAGCAAACTCTTTGTTCGCCGCCATGGCCTTCTCCCGCTTCTCTTGCGCCTTGCGCTCCCTCTCGAGTTCGCGCTGATATACTGCCTCACATTCTGCGAGCAGGCCGGGATTTTGCTGCATGAAGAAGTTATCGAGATCGACCTCGACGTTTGTAATCATCTCATTACCCTTCAAGGTTCGTTCGGCATCTCCAAAAGTCTTAGCATCTTTGACAAGAGTCTTGATATCAAAGAGGTAATCTGCTGGGCGCTTGTAGTAACCGTTCGAAAGGCGTTTCTCAATTGTACTGAGGTCCAAGTTGTAATACTTGTTGCCACTCTCCACGTGCAAAAGGACGTCGACACCCTTGGAATCTTTAGAGAACTCCCATGGTCGTATGGCACCCTGCTCTTCTTGCTCGTCGTGTGGCAAGTCTGACCGGACAAAGTCAGGGTCCTGTTCCTCAAGCAAATAAGAGTACCAGCTTTCTTCCAGGATTGGCTTGAAGAACTTCCTGTGGCTCCTCTTCAGCTGATCCATGATGGGCTGGATGACTATCTTCATCTTGTTGAGCGTGAGTCTGTCTTGTTTCTTCTGCCACTTTTCGCGAGCTGCAAGTTCTTTAGGATCAATAACCGGCTCAACGATGGGAGCGGCCTCCAGTTCAGGCAGTACGCGCTTCTTCCTATTATCAGGATCGGGGAAATCTGCAGGAGACATGCGGATGTAGTGGCTGATGTTGTTAAAGAATTCCGAGCGGCCTTCTTGGTCCGGTCGCTTGAGCTGAAACTGGTTCGTCTGTGAGAAGGAGAAGAGATCCATCATCATCTGTCGGTCAGGCTTCTCATTTTCACTTGATAGTTCCATGATACCCAGAACCATGATTGGCTCATTGGCACCAATACTTCGCAAAAGAAGCTTGAACGTTTTGATCGCTTGTGCGGGTAGTGTTTGGTACCAAACGTCGACTGCAGGGATGTAGATGACACTGGGCTTGTGTCGCCTCACTTCCGTGAACAGTTGCGTGATGGCTGCCTCGGGTGTTCGGGTTGAGTCTTCCAAGATGGTTGGAAGGTCAAAGGATTGAACATGCAATCCCTCTATTCTGTTCAACAACGCAGCACCAAGATATTGCTGACCCATGCCTTGGAGACCACTGATGAGTAGACGAGGCCTGAAGATCCTGCTGCTTTCGAAATTTCGCATAGTGGCCTCACGCTCGAAACCTTTCTCGTCGTCTCGATCGTCAAATTCAGCTTCTTCGAGTGCCGTGAGTTTCTTTCTCCGAGGAATAAGTTCGTCAATACGCTTGATGATTGCCTCAAGGGGTTTCCGCAGCAGTGGCTCGATGTTCTTGCCCAATGGCGCTGCGCTTGCTGTGACGGTTCGCTGAGAGGAAGGAACCATCTTGTTGACTGAGATCATGAAATCCTTTGCTAGGATCTTGATGTTGCTCGGATCAATCAACAATTTCTTTTCAGATGTGTAGATTTGAGGATATGTTCCTTGCACAGCGTTCAAGGCTGCCTCTGTGCACAAGGCCCGAATATCGGCACCACCGTAGCCCTTGGTCAGCTCTGCAAGTTGATCCTTCATATCCGGCTTTAGAGGTGGGTCCCAGTTTTTGGTATGAATGTCGATGATGGCTCGTCGACCTGCAACATTTGGTAGTGGGAAATAGAACTCTCGATCGAATCGTCCTGGACGTCGAAGTGCAGGGTCTACCGAATCAGGTCGATTGGTAGCACCTATGACGATGACCTGCCCACGACCATCCATACCGTCCATTAGGGCAAGAAGGGTTGCGACAATTGAAGCATGGATTTGCTCTTGTTTACTCGATCGAACGGGTGCCAAACCATCGATTTCATCAAAGAAGATGATACTGGGTTGGGTTTTCCGCGCTTCTTCGAACAAAAGACGAAGCTGCCGCTCAGCTTCTCCGACCCACTTGCTCAAGGCATCAGCACCTTTGCGCATGTAGAAGGTGACTTTCTGCCCATGCGTGCTGACACTGGAAGCGAGAGCACGGGCAAGAAGTGTTTTACCGGTACCAGGTGGTCCATGGAACAAAACACCTCGTGGAGGTGTGATCTTGAAGCGTTGGAAAACTTCAGGGTATAGCAGTGGAAGCATGACCATTTCCTTCAGTTTGTTAATGTGATCATCCAAACCGCCTACTCCGTCGAAATTGACGTTTGGATCGACGCCCAGAGGATCGGCGTCCGCAAGAGCCTTCTTGTCCTTGACCTTGCCAAGATTTGCTGGGCCACCACCAGAGGCTTGTTGTGGGTCAGCATTGTGAGTTTGGGGAAACCCAAACCCAGGGGCTGTCGCTGTGGTTGGGGTCATGCCAATCATTCCACCAGCTGGTTTAGGCATCTTCTGGTTCTCATCCTCGCTGCTGTCAGAGTCACCGCCTGCCGCGCCTATGCCAGCTTCGACACCGCCACCAAAGGGACCTTGGCTGCGCCAGAGGCTCCTGTATGTAGATCTGCCACCTCTTGCCCGTGGTTTGTCAGCAACGGGAGGATCGTCGTCATTGTCGAACATAGTGTTCATCTCTGGTCGGACGACACGGTAGTCTACTCCGGTGTTGCGGGCTCGACGTTTGGGCACCGTGTCATAAGACAGGTCCTCGTCCGGCTTTCGGCGGCTCAGTCGCCGTCTTTTGTTATATTCCAGGTCCTGAAGCTCATCCTGCAATTCATCTTGATCCAATCCCGATTCCTCAGACGATGAGTTGCGCCTACTGCGTTGGGACTGACGAGTCTTCCCTCGCAGGCGGTTCGACCGCCTTCCTGAGCCTGAAGCGCTTTCTGATGCAGATGCCTTGCCCTTGTCGTTGTCAGACTCGGATAGTTCTTCCTCTTTTTCGTCCTCGGCTGGGGGTTCAAAGTCACTGCTCTCGTCGGCGGCACGCTTGCGCTTGGATGATGCGGCACGATTCTAGAAGACTGGTTAGTTTGAGCACACAATTCAGAGTCAAATACTGTCATACCCTCAAATTACGGCCATTGCGGGCCACTGGGCCCTCCTCGTCAGAATCCTCAGCAGCACCTTCGTCATGCTGAGATTCTTGAATTACACCTTCCATGTCTTCCTCGCCCTCGGCATCTTCCTCTTGCGCATCTTGGGCAGGTGAGCTGTCCTTGCTTGCCTCCACTTGGGTCTGGGTGCCAGCAACGATGGCGTCGAGGGGACCAGGAGTGTCATCGTGGATCATTGATGTCTCCTGCGAAGCTTCCATAATGGCGCTAGGATGCTCGATCTTGGGACCCTTGCCTCCTCTTGTTGGGCGCGCAATGGGCTCAGGACTGCGAGTTCCTTCACGGATGACGGTGACATGCTTGCCAGAGTCAGAGAGTGCGACGATAGGTTCTTCAATATCATGCGAAAGACGAGTACTACGTCGAGTTCCATGAACCTCTGGTGTTCTTCCGCGCGCAAGTGATTTGCTGCCAGTGCGAGTGCGCAGGTTGCGACTAGAGCTATTGTCGGGCATCTTCAGCTTTACAATAAGCGATGGCTTGTCGACCTTTTCGATGGACGGCTGTGCACGGCGTCGCGAGGCAGGCTTAGGCGAATCGTCTTCCGATGGCGTGTCTTCGATTTCGTCTTCGCTCTCTTCGTATTTGATCTGCTTCTTGGTGGCGCGACGCACACTTCTGCCTGTCGCAGGATTGATTTCTGGCTCCTCTGACTCGGAGCGCTCGGTAAAGGAGTCGTCCGACTCGATTTCGTCGTCGTCGTCGATGTCAGAGCCGCTGTACACGCGCCGCTGGCGCTTCGAGGGCTTCTTTTTGGCCCCCGGCGTGCCTCGGTTGCGACGGCGCTGAGGTGCTGCGCGTCTTTCCGAATCGTCGTAATCAAAGTCGTCGGGATCGGATGCGTTGGGGTCGATGTCGAACTTGCGCTTCGATCGGCTAGACATAGGGACTTGTTTACGGTGAAGCTGTTGCGTTCCTTGGGTAGCGCGGTGAGTGAAGGGGATCCGATGCGTCGCAGCTAGGGCGCACTTACACCGCCCAAATAGGGTATTTGTCAACTTTCACGATTGCATTAGTAGCAGAGAAGGCTCTCATGCATGTGCGCCGATGACGGCAATAGTGCGCGCGATGCTCACTGCCGGTTGGCCGTGTGTCGTGTTGTTGTGAATAGGTGTGCGCCGGCGGGTGCGCGATGCACAAACGAAAAGGACGCCGAAATGGACGCGAAGGACAAATGATAAATGACAGACGCCTCCAAAACCCACGAGAAGTAGGGAAGTCCGAATAGATGATGTCGCTGAGGGGCGTGTGGTTGATGGGGAAGCGCCGCGTTGGAGCTGGTTGACCCAATGTTGGCTGCTCACCCAATGCTAAGCGCGCTAAAACCCAACACGATTTTAGAGCAGGGAACGCTTCTTCGACGCCGCAATCACGACAATAAAGAATGCACTTTGTTTCTCAACATCTAATCATTCAATACGCGTGAAAAGACTCGAAAATCGACGTCGGAAGATGAATTGGGCAAGTTCGGCAACTTTTCGGGAGTCTCCTGGGCGACTCTGGACTGGTATTCGAGCTCTCTTTTTTTCTTTGACAGCTCTTCCTGCCGCCTGTTCCTGCATGATCGACATGCGGCTCCAAAAGCTTAACGCCATTAGAGCTCGCTGGCATCTGTGGGGAAGGGCGAACCACGCACGTGCGCCACGTGCCAGGACGACTCTATCCTCGCAAGCCCCCCTGGACAGTGACGCCCAGAACGTACCATGCTCAATCCTGCTTCCATCGTTCAATAGCAATATATCTATTTCATAATCATAATTGTGCGAGTCTGCGAATTCATCCTGGCACTCGCATGTGGGCCATCGTGAACACACTGCGAATTGACGTAAGGCTCATGTAGAATGAATGAATAACTACGATAAACAGAATGGCCATGCTGCTTTTCTGCAGAATGTGTGATGGAGTGCTTTTGCTGGAGCAGTGATGGTATGTACTTGGGCCTAATTGCACTTGTGTTGTAGTGCGACGAACATCGCAACCACCAAGCGCAGCACACCTCATCAGCGATGCCTATCGACGCTTCGAACCGTCATACAACCATAAGCGGAACATAAAACCATGCGAATCATTTTTTGAATTATTGTTACAGGGAAGGATATTGCATGGTGATCTGAATATGGCTACATACATATCAATATGGTGCTGTCGTGGCGCATTTCGTATTTCTTTTCTTACATCTTCAATTTGCCTTCTACAACCACAGCGTGGTACTTTTGGCAGTACAGGCAGCTATGAGTCAATTTTCTCACTTTTCATATAACAGCTAAATGATTACCACTTTCATTTTGTGCTCAACCGACTACACGCCCTTGACGCTCCATACGCTCCATACGCTCTATACGCTGCCAGCGTGTACAGTCTGTCGCATAGCTATTAGAAAGTCGGCCCAAATGTTTATGCCAAAGTACGACATTGTCCCAAATTCATCTTCTTTATGATTGAAATTTATCAGATAACCTTTTGCACAATTTCGTGTTTTTCATGTCCACTTGGCTTTGCCTCGGAGTTGTTCGCTACCATCCCACCTTGAGCTCTTCGAGAACGCAGAACCCCGCATTTCGGCCATAGTACGTAAGCTCTTTCAAACGTCGTAGGCTGACACAGTTCCGCTCAACACCCACCCTAAAGGTGATTAGCAATTGACATCTGGACTCTGTAGGCGGACTAGACTTGCCCCAATAATTTCACGTGGACTGTCTCAAGATCGGCTAAGGTCGCTGCATTTTATATTTTCTCTTCATCCCCACTAGAGATAGCAATGCGCTCTTTCGTCACTGCCACTCGATCACTTGCACGACAGCCAGCCTACAAGAACAGCTTTCAGAAGAGAACCTTACCGTCAATTGTTTCAAGAGGATACGCAAACATGGGACACTCAGTACCAGCTGTATGTTAACAGCTTCCATCGACTCTTGTTCTTATCAGACTAACATCACCTACAGCTCAACGACAAGTCGCTGCTGAAGAATCAGACATATGTCAATGGAGAGTGGATAGACGCAAAATCTGGCAAGACCTTCGAGGTCCACGGTAATTTTCCTATTCTCACTTGATATGAGCTCATTCTTATCATTGCGCAGATCCAGCAACAGGCAAACTCATTGGCACAATGCCTGAGATGGATCGCGCCGATACCGAAGCTGCCATCGCTGCTGCAGCCGCAGCCTTTCCTTCTTTCCGCAAAACTACCGGCCGCGAGCGCTCACGCATGCTACGGAAGTGGTACCAGCTCATGATGGACAACGCAGAGGACCTGGCCAAACTCATAACGTGGGAGAATGGAAAGCCCATTGCAGATGCGAAGGGAGAGGTCAACTATGCCGCGAGCTTTTATGAGTGGTTCGCAGAAGAAGCGCCGCGTATCTATGGAACTACCATTCCAGCGTCAATCGCTGGAAACAGGGTGTTCACAATCAAGGAGCCGGTCGGCGTTGTTGGACTGATCACACCGTAAGTATTGAGGCATGTCTGAGAGGAGGTATAGTTAGCGCGACTAACATGAATAGATGGAACTTCCCAGCAGCCATGATTACAAGGAAAATTGGTCCAGCACTAGCGGCTGGTTGCACAGTCGTAGCCAAGTCTCCTGCTGAGACTCCCTTTACCGCTGCTGCCCTAGCCGAGCTTGCACACCGTGCGGGAATACCAAAGGGCGTAGTCAACTTCGTCACAGCCCTCAAAAATACTCCAGAGGTGGGCGAGACAATCACATCAAGCAAGACTGTCAAAAAAGTTTCTTTCACGGGTTCTACAGGTGTAGGAAAGCTCCTGATGAAACAGTCTTCCGACACACTAAAGAAGCTCTCTTTCGAATTGGGCGGAAACGCACCATTCATTGTCTTCGACGATGCTGACCTCGAGTCCGCCGTAACTGGAGCCATCGCATCCAAATTCCGCTCTTCTGGCCAGACCTGCGTGTGCGCCAACAGAATCTACGTCCAATCCGGCATCTACGACGAATTCTGCACCAAGTTCACAGAAAAAGTACAGAGTTTCAAGGTCGGCGGTGGATACGACGAAGGTATCACACACGGTCCCCTTATCCACGACCGCGCCGTATCAAAAGTCGACGCACACGTCCAGGACGCTGTCAAGAACGGCGCCAAGATCCTCCACGGTGGCCAGAAACTCCCAGATCTCGGTGCAAACTTTTACCAGCCTACTGTCCTGCGTGACATGACCAAGGACATGCAACTTGCAAAGGACGAGACTTTTGGTCCTGTAGCAGGTCTCTTCCCATTCAAGACTGAAGCCGACGTCGTCAAGCTTGCCAATGAGGCTGATGTAGGTCTTGCCGGATACTTCTTCAGCCGCGACATTCAGAGGGTGTACAGAGTAGCGGAGGCATTGGAGGTGGGTATGGTTGGCGTCAATACTGGTCTCATTTCAGATGTTGCCTCACCTTTTGGTGGCGTCAAGGAGTCTGGATTTGGACGGGAAGGAAGCCATATGGGTATTGAAGAGTATGTTGTTACCAAGACTATTACCATGGGTGGAAATGGCCAGCCGCTGCAGGGCGAGTGAGGAAATCTAAAACAATAGTGCTCGTGTCATAGTGATATAGAAAATTGAATGCATAGTGAAATTTGGTTTGTTGGCTGGTATCATTACCTCTGTTGACAAGCACGCGACTAGGTACTTCGTAGCTATCAACTCCTAGTAACGCCAAATGTTTACAACTGGTTACTCGGGTGGTTTCCGTCATTGCCGTTACACACACATGTAATTTCCCGTGCCCACCAAACACCTCATAGCCGAACATTGTATGCAAAAGTCACACATATGGGAACCAGAACCTTAAGGTCATCATTGAAAGTTGTTCATTTTCATGCCAGTTGACCCAGCACTATCGTTGGATACATACGTGAGGCGCCGAATGTAATGTCCCGCGCCATAACCCAGGAATGCTAGAAAAGACCCATGTCACCCAAAAACACCCTCTAGTACCTCTTTCCCTCACGGAGAATGTCGCTGTACTCCTCAAGTGGTGAGGGGCGGAGAGCGTTCTCTTTCCACAGGTTGGGAGTAAGGAAGCCGTAGGTGTGGGCGACGGCAACGAAGGTAGCCTTCAGGGTGTTCTCAAGAGTCTTGGTTGAACCGGAAGAGGCAGTGTAGATATCTTGGACACCAGCCAATTGCAAGAGACGCTTGACGGCGGGCGAGGCGACGAGGCCGGTACCACGGGGAGCGGGAATGAGACGGACAGTGACGGAACCGCACTTTCCGCTCTCCTTGGTGGGGAGCGAGTGAGGCTCACCAAGGTTGGTACCCCAGTAACCTCTTCGGATGGGGACGACGGAGAGCTTGGCGATGATGATAGCGGCGCGGATGGCGGTCGCGACTTCCTTGGAGGTCTTGATACCGAGACCAACGTGACCCTCAGAGTCACCGATGACGACGATAGCCTTGAAGCGGGTACGCTGACCGGCACGGGTCTGCTTCTGGACGGGCTTGATCTTCATGACCTCGTCCTTGAGCTTAGGAAGGAAAAAGTCGACGACCTGGTACTCCTTGATGGGGAGAGAGTGGAGGTAGCTACACGCTGTCAGACAATTCTCTCGCACTTCCGTTGTCCAGTTCAACATACATCTCCTCCATACTCTTGATCTTGCCAGCCTTTACGAGACGGCCGAGCTTGGTGACGGGCTGCCATTCCTTCTCCTGTACCAATTGTCAATTTCCGGTAACATTTCCCTTTTAAAAACTGTGTGTGCGTACTTCAGACTTTCCGCCACGGCGGCCACGGCCACGTCCGCGACCACGTCCACGGTCACCACCGCGGTCTCCACGAGAACCGAATCCGCCGCGAGCGGGGGCAGGAGCGTCAGCCATTTTGTATGTCGGGTGGGGTATACGGCTGCTGAATTTGGGATTAGCAATTTGGCAGAGTAACAGGAGGGTTGGAGAGCATACGATTTGGTGTTTCCTGGAGTTAGTACTGTTGTCGCGGAAGTCGAGGTCGCGAAATTGATGGAATTCGACCTCGTTTAGTCTGTGGGTGAAAAGACGCTAACCGTATATGGTTTGGCTTCAGTAGTGGATGCTCTGCCCATGGACACTCGTTGAACTTGAACTCAAACTAGACCAGCGGCGGCTTTGTTTGAGTATACGGCGACCGATTGTTCTAGCATTTATTGATGCATTGCGCGCGTCGACGATTTTGCTAAAGGATAAAAAAATAGGAAAGGTCTGAATGTCAACGCTCGGTATGATGTAATTCCTCCAACTACTTGTTTGTTCATGAGGTAAAATTCACAGCATTCCACATGATAGGCAAGCTTGAAGCGATTTCATGGAAGAATGCTGTGTATAAATGTCGACGTGACATGCTGTCACTGCGGTTTCCAAGTGAGTTGTGACAGTGCGGCTGACTAAGAGGCTGTTGAATGCGCATGACTCGTTCACATGGCAATGGTAGCACATGTCTCACGCGAACAACACCAAGAACAAAACCTCAACAATCTAGCTACACCTCTATCACTTTCCAGATTACATTCTAATGATCAAGCATAATGTCTATCTTAAACTCAGTACTGGGTTCGCTCTCTCCGCCGTCAGGATTTAGAAAGTCCTTCGAAGACCCGCATGCGCGCGAACATGAGCTACCGTCATACAACTCCTCATCGCCTCCGCGTATACCACCCCCCGTAACATCCTCGGTATTATGGACGGCGCCAAAAGCGATCCTTCCAATTCAACCTCGGGTCCCTGACGATTTGTTAGCTCTGCAACGGCGAGCGCGACACCTCGAACAACAGCTGCAAGAGCTGCTTGATGCGCAGGCGGATGGTTTGGTGGCCGGCCTGGGTGCGGGGAGCAATATACCAGATGACTTAGTTTCGAACGGCAGTACCACACCGACTGTCAGCAGTGTCAGGTCTAGCGATAAAAGCGCAGAGAATGGAGAGACATTGCCTAAGACCCGGCGGAAAAAGGTAGGATTGCAAGCAGCAAGACACGGCATATCTAGGCGCATGAAGCAACTCGCAAGCATCAAGGCTGAAGAGCTTGATTTGTTAGATGAGGATTTGAGGAAAGTACAAAGTACAGTCGAGAAGACAGACGCATGGAGTCAGAAGCGCACACGACTCGAGAAGAAGATCCGAGAAATAGAGGGCCAGGATGCTGGTGCAAAGACGCGTAGTTTACAAACAGAGGCCTCAAAGCTGGAACAAGAAATACGGCAAAAGGAAGAGGAGTTGTGGGCGCTCAAGCGACGGCATCGACGAATATTGGATGAACTCGCCGATACTGAGAACTCCGTGGAAGCGAAGATTGCATCTTACAAGACATCACTGTCATTGTTAGATCGCGAAGTCTCAAACTTTCTTGCGAGACCTGTAGATCCGAACCACGTACCTGTGTCGTCCTCCCCATACCCTACGCTTCCCGCAAAACGACGAACGCTTGAAATGGCACGCGAGTACTGGCAGGACGAATACACCAGATTGGCCGAAAAATGCGAAGAGATCGATACAGATCGTGGGGCACTTGACGAAGGAGCACTCCTATGGTCAGATGTAATGAAGAGAGTTGCGGATTATGAAACAAGTCTACAAAACTATATGCAACAAGTGGGACGAAAGAACTTCCCTGAACCATCTAAACTCCTCGGGCAAATGGACAAAACTATATCATACTTGGAAGAGAAGCTAGAGCTTGCTTCTTCGCGAAGTTGGAATCTGTTGGTTTGTGCTATTGGAGCAGAGCTAGAGGCCTTCATACAAGGAAAGGATATGCTAGAAGAGGCTCTAGGTATGAAACGGAAGGGCAAAGAGAAGGCCACAGAGCCATTGCTGGATCAAGATGGATTCCAAGCTGAGCAGCCCGAAGACATGACTGTATCAGCTATCAGAATCACACAGTCCCCAAAGCCACCAGTCCCGCCCAAGCAACAATACTTTGATTCGGAAGATGACGATCCTGATCCTGAGCTTTTGATTTCGCATCAGGATGTTGATACATACTGAGCATGTTCTTTGAAAGCGGATCGATAGATCTTGCACAATAGCTCAAATAGCTTCAATACACTACTACTTTGCTACGGCCTTCATAACTTGATACCTCATCGGTGGAGATGTGCTGTTCCTACGAAACTGTGAGATTAGGACTTAGTCATTTTAAACGCATCACTGTCAAAACACTAGTACCTGAAGAATAGCAGAATAACACGCTACCTGAGAGCATGACTTGCAGATGTAAACTACACTTACGTTAGGACGCGCGATGTCGGTGCGTCTAGTATATCGATAAGGTGGTAGATTGGCGTCATCGGTAATAGGCCTTATCGCCGAGGTTAGTCCAGAGCTCCCGCTCACTACGATCATCACCACCATGTTGCCTCGGCGCCACTTGCGACTCATTTCAGCGCTCAATCCGCCAACATGAGCTCGTCGCAGGTTCCCACTAGTCCGCCTAGCGAACTTGACAATGCCAGGACCATTGTATACGATCCGAATGATCCCTTTTGGCAAGATACCGAGGATGATGATGACGACATGGACTTTGTGCCCGCAGAGGAAGGTCATGATGACGGTGAAGAAGGAGAAGGCGACTCAAGTTTCCATGGTATCTATTGCAAAGCATTTCAGGGTTACGTTACGGTTGCTAACGTTATGCAAAGATGCTGCTGAGCGACTGAGTAATCTTAGTGGAGTTGAAATCGCATTTGAATACACCGATGACAATGATGAAGAGGAGGAAGATGATGACGACGAAGCTGAAGAGGAAGAAGAAGACGATACGGAACTTCCCCAACGACCAGTGATGATCACCCGCGACCAGATCATGCAATTACTTGGACACGCAGGACTAGGACGAATATTTGCCGCCGATTTCTCACAACGCTCCCTGCTGTGGCGACGCAGACTCGACGATGAGGAGGAAGATGACGATGATGACGACGATAACAGCGACCCTGGCACTGGCTATGACCCCGTTGTTCCTACAGGGACATCTGGTAGAAAGCGCCGCCCTCGTGGCAGGGACTTGCTGGAAAAGGTACCTAGTGAACAGGGCAGAGAACTGATGGAGATGGGCACATTTGGATCGAATCCTCGAAGAGAGGACACTATTAAGAGGAAAAAGAGGTTGGCCTACGATATCATGAGGCGCGAGTTGGGTATTGGTAGCCATGGACGACAAAAGAACGCTACAAGGCTTTTGAAGCAGGACATGATACCCGAATCAGTTGCTGATACCATTATTCACTATAACGCAAGGTGTTACTCGGGACAATTCTCAGATGACGGCAATTTTTTCTTTTCCTGCGCACAGGACTTCAAAGTGCGCATGTACGATACCTCGAACCCCTACGATTGGAAATATTACAAGGTAGGCAGCGAAACTACAATTTGGGAGCAACAAAGTTAATTGATTATAGACTGTGAGATACCATGGCGGGCAGTGGACAATTACAGACGCCTCACTTAGCCCTGATAATCGATTCCTGGCTTACAGCTCAATCAGAAGTATCGTGAGCCTAGCACCTACAGATCCCGAAGACGATTCTGAACCTCACATGCTCGACTTCAACAACACGGGTACATCAAATCCACGGGGCTTCCATTCCCACTTTGGTGTAAGTCAGAGTAAAGTTGGATATGTTGCATTGGCTGACGAACCCTAGATCTGGTCAATACGTTTTTCAGGCGACGGTCGCGAAATTGTAGCTGGAACTGGAGATAGCTCGGTGTATGTCTATGACATTGAGCGAAGGCAATCAGTCCTTCGCATACCAGGCCATCAGGATGATGTCAACGCCGTCTGTTTTGGCGACTCTCAATCACCGCATATCCTTTACTCTGGATCCGACGACACGACGCTCAAAGTGTGGGACAGGAGAAGTATGGGAGATGGCCGAGAAGCTGGTGTTTTCTTTGGCCACACCGAAGGCCTGACATATGTTGACAGCAAAGGAGATGGTCGATATGTGCTCAGTAATGGAAAAGACCAAACTGCAAAGTTGTGGGATTTGAGAAAAATGGTGTCCAAAGAGAAGGCCGATACCATCGATCCGTACAGATACACGACGCGCTTTGAGTATCGATCCAACGGCTACGACTACGACGACTTCCGCCCACATCCACACGATTGTTCGCTTGTCACGTTCCGTGGACACAAGGTCTTGAAGACGCTGATTCGATGTCACTTTTCGCCTCCCGGTAGTACCGACTCGCGATATGTGTACTCGGGTAGCTACGATGGCTCAGTGTACATTTGGAACATGGATGCTACACTTGCCGGCAAGGTCAATGTGCTGAAAGCAACCAAGAACTCGCGACCGCGGGATCCAGATCTACTCGCTGGGACGTATGACTATTGGGGTCGGAATGAGGGCAAGTGGATGACGTGTGTCCGTGATGCGAGCTGGCATCCCAATGCACCCATGATTGCAGGTGAGTTTCTATGTTTGTGATTGATTGTTATGTGAGATTTCGCTAAAAAACACGTAGCGACATCCTGGAATGGCTGGGGTACCTCACAAGGAACGTGCACAGTTCATACGTGGAACGATGGTGTTGAGGATGATGAGGCGGAACCCAAGGTTGGCCGCCGTGTCAATGCACAACTACAGCATGACGAGCGACTGTACAAGAGCCACGAGGGCCGGTCGAGAAGACATCCGGTTTGGTATGAGGACATGATGGATGACGATTGAGCGGACTGTATGAGTTGCTTACGCAGACTCCCTGTGCCTGCATGTTATTCAGGTTGATGCATCGCTGTGCGTCTCATCTTGTCTATTTCAATTTGAACATGAGTATCATTTGAAGGGACTTTGATGATGATGGCGTGACTGGATCTCTCATCTTCGCATATTGTAGTTCCTTTATATCAATCGAACTGAGGTGATGTATTGTCACCTCACACACGCATCAAGGACGCAGACATTAGATGTATAGTTTGCAAAATGTAGATGTGGATATAATCAAACTCCCGCTGACCCAATGTCGGTATTGTACAGCCCTATGCCATAGATATGTCATGTCCGATAGCCAAGCGTCCAGACTCGTAATGTGGCCTTCTCTGCCCTTAGTCGCCAAGCACAACTACAAAATGGATACGGCAAACGAGTCGGTCGTATGGCCGAAGGAAAAGTAAATGGATGCTCTTTGGCGTGAGGGGTGATAATTTATGAGCCGCCGACGAGGATGTTGTTGACGGGAATGTGGACAAGCTTGACGACGTAGCCAATGACGCCTGTGAGAATGAGTTAGATGATTGCGACGTGGAGGGATGTTGTGGCGGGTAATGGTGCTACTGACCCATGATCAAGAAACCGATTCCGACGGCTTGCGATATCCTGATGAACTCCTTCTTGTCGGGCTCTGTAGCGTGGTCAGTGGCCAATTGTGGTGGGGGTAAAGGGCCAGAGGGCCGTACTGGTGCAGCGGTTCATGAAAAGAGTACCCTCCTTGAGGAACTCAGCGGGCATACTGCGCCGTATTGTTAGTCCGTCATAAGCCCACGTTATATGTGCGCCGGGGCATTGCGTACTCGGCAAACTCCTTGATGTTCTCCATGGCGACTGATGTGCAATTGCGATACGAGAAGGGTTGTTCGAAAGGACTGTTTGGTGGGATCAAAGTATCGTGGATGGGAGAGGTCGCGACTTAATGGATGGGGGCAGGTAAATTGCCAGCCGGCGGACGAGGGCAATCTGGCCTTGCGGAGAAAGCGAACAGGGGTTGGCGGGCTGCCAAGCACGCTACTGGCAGCACTAGCGGCTCGAGCTATCGCATCCACGTCCTCGCCCCTCACGCCCATCCTCACTCGCGCCGACACTGCTCGAATCCGTCAAGTCTTGTCAGGTTTGTTGCCCAGGCCAACGCTCACTACTACTGAACAGATTGCCCCCCGATACCCCAGGCCTGACGGTTGCAGTCTGGCTCTTTGCATCGCCGCCACACATCTCGCGGAAGACCAAAAGGGAGCGCGCTGGCTTGCTGCACATACTAACTGAAGCTCACCCTCACTTTTGTCCATCTCTTTTTCTCATTACTTGCAGCGCACCATCTTGCGCTGCGTCAATTCTCAAGGACTTTGTACACTGCAGCGGCGCTACAAGCACACTGTACTGGAGGCGGGCAAAGCAAACGCAGGAGGCTGGCTGAGGCATTACACTACTTGACACTACTCTATCCCACATCTCTCTCACCATATCCTGTACCTTTTACATCTCCGTATCTGCCAGAGGCGATCGGATTATCTATCCCTTCTTGCTCTGAACGGTCCTTCTAGACCTTGTCACTACGCCGACTGCGGCACTGTACGTATGGCCTTACTCTACGCTGTTTGTTCTTTTGTACCGCCATCGCCCGGCGACGCACTTCAGGCGCCTTATTTTCTTTGCAACACTCCCTTGTCTTATCATGCTGATTTGTATGCCAATCACAGAATTGCATGTACTTTGGCTATTGATACTAGCACATCGAGTACCTAAAAGCGAATCAAAAAAGAATACCGGAAACTACCTCATCGCTTACTGCAGTTGACTTGACATATCACAGCAAACATGGCTGACGACGACAACTTCGACATCGACATCTACGGGGATGACTCGTACCAAGATTCGACCGCCCAGCATGATGCCGCCGTAACCGACGCCAATGCCCCAAACGCAGATGCCAACGCAGCCAACGCAAACGACGCACAAGAGAACGCGGCTACCGAAATGGAAGATCAGACGGCCAATCACAAAGGTCCGGGTGAAGCAACCAACGGAAATGCCCATCACGACCAGAGCACACAACAGATAGCATCTACAGGAGGCGCATCCGGCCTCGATGTTCACAAGCAAGCACCTCAGCAGCAGGGTACCAAGCGAAAGCAAGGCGAGGACGATGACCGCCCCACTGACCCCGGCGCCACAGCCGCTTTGATGATCAACGACGTCAACTGGTGGATTAGCGAAGAGGATATTCGCGGATGGGCTAACCAAAGTGGTTGTGAAGATGAGCTCATTGAAGTCACCTTTAATGAGCACAAGGTCAATGGAAAGAGCAAAGGGTTGGTTTCCTGCGGATATTAGAGTGACTTGTTACTGATATCTCTTACAGTCAGGTTTTTACTCTACTAAACTCACCGCAAGCAGCTACTGCTCTCAAGCACCAGATCGAGACCCTGTTCAAAGACCAAGCCCATACCAAGAAACCCACCGCCATCTTCAGTCCCCCACACGTTAATCCGTTCAAGACGCTACCAAAGGATGTACCCGCGCGAGACAAGGGCAGGAATGATCGTGCTTCCTCTGGTAACTTCGGTGGCCAGGGTGGTGGTTTTAACAACAGGGGCGGGTATAATAACAACAACAACAGAGGAAACTTCAACAGAGGCGGCGGCATGGGCTACCAGAACAACCGGAACTTCTCACCTGCTGGTGGCAACATGGGAGGCAACATGGGAGGCTATGGCGCACAAGCTCCGATGAACAACTTTGGTAACCCCATGGGTGGCATGAACAACTTTGGAGGCAACTTCAACCGTGGCGGCATGATGGGTGGTAATATGCGGGGTGGCATGGGCAACCGTGGCCGTGGCGGCAGCATGGGCATGAATGCCATGGGCGGAGCTCCTATGGGTGGTATGAACATGCCAATGGGCGGCAACATGATGGGCATGGGTGCCAGTATGATGGGTATGGGCGGTGGTAACATGGGAATGATGGGAGGAATGGGTATGTTGAAAGACTCTCATATTAGTGACTTGGCCCCACACTTGTCATTTCATGTCTTGAACACTGGCTAACGCTACTTTTGCAGGAGGTGGCTTTGGCGGCAACCCAGGCTTCAATCCAGGATTCTTCCAAGGCCAGGGCGGTAACGATGGCAGTTGGCAAAATCCACACGGCGCTAAGAGGCCACGTCCTGAGTAGTTCCTAACATGGAACTTTTACATTCCGCGCCTTTGGCCTTTCTATGGGATCTGCATACATACATATGGCGAGACCCACTTTCAAACGACGCGTTGATCTATAACGTATATCGACTTGCATGCATACACGAGACGAAACGAAGTCAACCGTATTCGGGATGCAAACAACCGTTTCCCTACTGGAACGAAGACACTCAATATTCCCGACTCACCTTTTTCTGGGTTCTTCAATAGCATACGTCAGGGAATGGCCGTTTTTTCTCTTGCATCGCTTTTTCCCGAGTTCCTTGCAAGCGGTGCACGCAACAAAATGGCGACATATTTTCACAGTTCTGTTCGAATAATCATCTCGGCGTTTTTTGGTGGGGGTTTGGCAAGTCCTTTTTTCTTCGTCACAGAATTGATTCTTTTTTTCTTCATCGATGTCCTTGGTAGCTTTTTCTTATTTTCCTCCGTCTGGTTACTTAGTCTTGTATACGAGGTATATTTTTTTTAGCACGGTGTCATGGTGTTTGTTCACTCTCTGGAAAACGGCATAACATAAACTCTAGCATTATTTTACAAAGACAAGATATTGTAACTCTAGAGCGATATGACGTGTTTGCAGGATGCACAGTTTTTCTGGATATTACGAAAGCCTTTCTTGTATCATTAGTGTAGAAAGCATGAAGGAAAAAAGGGAAAAATCGATAAATCGTTGCGCGAGACGTATTCCCGTCCATGTACTGTAAGTTGCAGCAGTTTAGAAGAAGAGGAGAAACTCCCTCATTGTCTTCATGTCTCCTTCCAACACCAAAAAAAGCCCTGTCTTTGGTGGAAAAACGGCAAACCAAACTAAAAAAATTCACCAAGTTGCCCTTATTTAATTTGGCAAATAGGCCCGGGTTCGGGAACCTGCGTATATGAAGTATGCAATATAGATGGAGCGAACCCTCATTAAACCATGCCTAATATGTACCTGCTTCGCAACCAATCGCCTTTCGCAACTACCCGCTTTCCGACCCGGGTTTCCATCGCACCAGAGCTGCAGTGAGTGGGAACAAACTTTCTAGAAGCAAATTTCGGCCGAAGCGGCGAAGCGGCGGGATGGGGTAATATGGGAGGGCAGAAGGCTTGATTGAGGGGGGGAGGATGTTTGGCAGCGCTAGTTAGGGTGGGTTTGGTGGAGAGAGGGACTTCATTTATTTTGAAGTTGTATAGTGCATTTGTTTGAGGAGATGAAATGGTGTGATGGGGGGGTAGTGATATTGTATATAGTCTGGGTTATTTTCTCGCCTGGGTTCATAATATGTGAGTAGTGTTTAGCAGAGGGTTTGCAAGTGTCTTAGCAGAGTCTCGCCCGATATGAAGGTCACACGTTCGAGTGCAGCGATGCTGCTGCTTAATGGCGCTGTTTCTGTTGCCCAATGTACGTATCTTTTTGGAGGGAAAGGAATTGAAGACAGTACTGACAAGCAAGGAAGCAATAAACGATACTTCCGGTGTCACGTGTCCTTCCACCTCCAAGTTCACGCCGCTCTCCGCCGGAACATTTTTCGCAAAACTGAACCCAGGCTGGAATGTCGGCAATACTTTGGATGCTGTGGAAACAGAAGGTGACTGGAATAACAAACCCGTTGTAGCTAGCACTTTCGACGATGTGAAGAAGGCTGGCTTTAAAAGTGTGAGAATTCCGGTCACGTGGGCCTACCATTTCACATCGCAAGCTCCGGACTGGACAGTCGACCCAGTATGGCTTCAAAGAGTCTCGGATGTCATTGATATGGTGACTTCACGCGGCCTTTATGCCATAGTAAATGTCCACCACGACTCCTGGACTTGGGCAGACTTGACCTCAGCGAGCACTAATGTGACAGCCTTAGAGGAACGCTTCAGTAAACTCTGGCTGCAGATTGGGACCAAGCTTGCCTGCAAGAGCGAAATGTTGGCCTTCGAACCAATTAATGAGATCCCGGGGACTACACCTGAACATGGAGCTATTGTCAATCGCCTCAATGATATCTTCTTGCAGAAGATCAACGAGGCGGGGGGGCATAATTCGAAGAGAGTGGTTACGTTGGTTGGAGCGGGTGAGGATGGAGTAAAGACGAGTCTTTGGTTTAAGAAACCGGATCTCAAGTTCAAGAATCCCTGGGGCATTCAGTTCCATTACTACAGCCCCTACGATTACGTCTTCCAGGCATGGGGAAAGACGACATGGGGCTCCGAAGCCGACAAGGCCTCTCTGGAAGGTGATCTCGCTGCGGTACGGTCAAACTTCACCGATGTCCCAATCGTCATCGGGGAGTGGGCCGTATCACCTGTAGCTACAGAGACAGCAGCAAGATGGCGTTACTTTGATTTTTTCGTGCGCACCGCCGCAAAGTACAATATGTCGACCATTCTGTGGGACAATGGCGCCGATTTTCTCAATCGCGCAACGCACCTCTGGAGGGATGAAGTGGCGATGGATATCTACCGCAATGCGATAAAAGGTATCCCAAATGCTTTGCCAGACAGTACTACAGACGGAGCTGTCACTACACAGCAAAGCTCTGCGTACATCTACCACGCGAAGAACGAGACGACCAAGGACGTTACACTAAGCTTCAATTTCAACGGTAACACACTGAGCAAGATCAGCAATGGCAGCAGACAACTTGCCAAAGGAAAGGACTACACCCTCTCAGGCCAGGACATCACCTTCAAAGCCGGCTATCTCAGCACCATCATTACGCCTTCTTCTCCAACGGGCAGTCTAACAAACCTCACTCTGACGTTCAACCGTGGTGCCGCTTTACAAGTAAACGTACTCCAGTACTCTACCCCTGTGCTATCGAGCACCTCCGGTCCCCTGCCAGCCGCAGGCCAAGACTTACGCATCCCCGTTTCATGGGCTGGCATCAACAGGCCGGCAGCTGTCAAGGCGCAAAAGTCAGATGGCACATACCTCGTCGATGACTGGACCCAGTACCTCGGTCCTCTTCAGCAAGGCCGTATGACCTATGGCAATCAGTGGGATTGGGATGCTAACAATGTGATTATCAAAGCAGCGGCTGTTGATGCGGTGAGGGCTGCCAACAAAGATACAACACTAACAATTGAGTTCTATCCTAGGCAACCTGGGAACGACGCTGTTTATACACTCAAGGTGTGAGGGGGTCGGTAAGAAGCGAGGTGAGGAGATAAGACAGGGATGTGTAGATGGCCTCAAGGTGCCTAGATAGATGAATAGATTGCTCGTTCTATGTGACTGTAGTATGATGCTGCTTCGAAGTTCTTAAACTCTACTTGTACTTGGAGATGAACTTCCAAGAGAGGCTGGATTTGGAGAAACTGCTAATCACACACACGAGTGGAACATTTTATGCCCCATCATAAAACAAATATGCGCCCTTTTGCTCGTAGGATGGGTGGACTCCACTATCATGTCCACAATTGCCTTTAAATTGCCTAGCGCTCGAGTCAGCAGCCCTTTCCGAGGTGGAACTCCGCAAGCTTAGCAATTCCTCACAATCCTTTGAGGGCATCAGATAATGTATATAATTGACAAGTAACAATGTATAGATTTAAAATTCAGTATTCAAATAATCAAGTCCCTATTTCATTGAACAAGCCAAACGTAAAAGACATATTCAATTACTTTCTAAGCAAAGATGCCCAACCATCCCGTCTCGCTCACCACTCTCTCCAATCTCCCGTCCACCTACGACCCCAACAAACCATTCTACATGCTCAACCTCTGGAAATACCGAAAAGAGGCTTCTTACCGCCCTGAGCATGCGCACCTCGCCGGCGAAGCTTGTACAGGCCAAGAGGCCCTGGGACGCTACCGCACTGCCATCGCCCCTCTACTTCCACCCAACACTAGTGTCATCTTCAGCAGCACAGTGTTGGCCAAGATTGTTGTCGCAGAAAACGAAGACTGGGATTTTGTTGCGATTCTCAGGTACGAGAGTCTAGAGGGGTTCAAGAAAACTGTAGAAAGTAAAAAGTACAGGGAGGAGGTGGAACCGCATAGATTGGCGGGGTTGGAGGATGGTAGATTGATTGCATTGGATAAGCTTGAGTAGTGAAGGGGATTGTAAACCAAGGAGAGGCGGTTTTGTTAAGTAGAACGTCTCAAAGAAAAAAGCCTTTCAACATCCATATGCCCAGTTGCCAAAATGTCAATCGAGTGAACAACAGTACAAGAGCCAAAATGACTCATAATCATGATACGTTTGCATACACGCGAGAAGGATTCGCACCTATCTTGTCGTCTCCATCCATGATGCTACTTTAGTCGCGGCTACGCACGGCCCTGCATACGTACTACTTACCTTCTTAGCGCTCCCGCAACAAGGCCACCCCCCACACCCAAGGATCCACCGACGTGTTCCCCATTAATACTCGTCAGCATCCGATACTCCGGCAATGCGATGAGGACCTGTGTTGGGTCTCTCTCCGACCCAGAAAATGCGCCGTCCACCGGAAGCTCACTACAGCTTTTCGATACCCTCGATACACGATGACACAACGCTCGATTGTCGCATTTATCAACCCGATGCTCTACTGCGGCCGGACAACTCCGATGATATAGCGAAATGGAGCAAGAAAGGGATAGTTATGGCACACCCATACGCACCCATGGGCGGAAGCTTTGATGATCGCATAGTTGGGATCGTAATCGACGAGTTCTTGAATGCTGGCTTCATAGTGGGTGTGTTCAATTTCCGGTAAGCATGTCCTTGTAAGCGGACCCCGAGCATACAGCCATTGACTCACTTATCCTAGTGGAGCACACGGATCCAAAGGACGAACGAGCTGGACAGGGAAGCCCGAACTAGACGACTACATTTCTTTCGCAGCATTCTTCATGCATTACATTTCTAATCTCCAGCCTTCTTTACCACATGATCTCTTGGCGTCGGAGCAATCCCCAATGTCCCCGAACTTTAGTGAATCAGCGCCAGTGCAGAGCGACGTTTGCCCTCTGGTCGTTCTGGGAGGCTACTCTTATGGATCTCTCATTCTTCGGAATCTACCACCCGTTTTAACCATTCTGCAGCCATTTGCTGCCCCACCGGAAGGCTCCGCAGCAGAAGAAATTGTACATCGTGCCAGCAAATTGGCAGATCAAAGCAATATGGAATGGGTCACGCTGGCTCGAGATGAAACCCGAGCTAGGAGGAAGGACCGAGCGAAGCACAACAAACGCCCTTCGATTACAATGGGCGGAGAAGAGACCAGTCCCAGTAAGAGGAGAAGCAGTAGAGAAGTGAGACGAAGTCTGGAGGGGAGCTCTCGCCTAGAAATACGTACACGATTAAAGAGCCTAAGCCACAGAAGGCGTGACAATGCCGAGGCCACGACGCCGACGAAAGTGGAAACCACAAATTTTAGCGTGCCTGATGTCCGATATCTTCTCATATCGCCACTGACGCCGCCTTTATCCTCACTAGCTGCCCCTGCTCTGATGCACAAGTTCTGGAGCAGATCCAAGGATGATCAACAGGAGACGGTTGGCAAGCATGTGACCTTGGCCATCTATGGGGACCAGGACATCTTTGCATCTGCCAAGAAGCTCCGCGACTGGGCTGAGCAGCTAAAAACTAGTCCTGGATCGCGGTTCCGTAGTCTAGAGGTTGCAGGTGCGGGTCACTTTTGGGTAGAGCAAGGTGTAGAAGAGAAGTTGAGGGTAGCCATAAGGGAATGGATTATGGATATGTGAAATGTAGAGTATGAATCAAATGAGATCTTTGATAGTGACCTTAATCTTGACTAGTCAAGGGCTTCTCAACCAGCAGCATCCTTCGAGCGGCTGGACGCACATATCGCCCACAACCGCTCACAACCGCTCCAGAATTGATAAGAATGTACAATTACAGAAGAACAATCGAGTTCCAGGAACATTGTTTCCTTTTTGATTTCCGAGACCGCAAAAAATGTTTTAAGTTTCAGTGCCGAAGAAGCTTTCTTGAAATTTTCTCCTTGATTGACTACTGCAAAACAAAGATCCAAGACAAGTCCTGTATCTAGACACTTGGAATAGCCCGTATCATTCAACATACACAATCGTGCATAAATTGCCACAATAAGAAGCAATGCGCAAAACGTCTCAGTCACACAACCTGGACCCGACTGTCGATCGATGCGATCACCCGGATTCACTCAGAACACCATGTCCTTGTGGCATGAAACCTCCCATTCCTGAAAATTTTTGTAGTGCACTCACAACATCCTCCATCACCTGTCAAATTCCTCTCCCTAGTGACTCACGTTTGGCGACCTTGACACGTCTTGGTTTGGACTCGGGACTTGGGGATCGCTCATTGCTTGCCCTACAAAGAGTTAGTATACAGCCATGAAACTGAATAAAGATTTAGGCTTACGTTTGAGTGTTGGAATTTTTGACCCGCTTTGGTATGGATACGGGACTTGATGATCGTTCTCGGTTTATACTACAAAGAGTCAGTATACACCCATGAGAGACTGACTAAATAGAAGTGGACTTACTAATGAGGAGATGAAATTTCTCTTTTGTTGGATAATAGCAATGGGGGGGGGGGGGTATGGATTTTCATGCGGTGCCTATTCCCACTCTGTGTTGAGTGCTGCATGGTAGTGGCCGGTTTGCTTCTATGGCTTTTGTGAAAAAAAAGTGGGGAAGTAGGATTGATTGTTTGGATCTCTGAGGGACATGGGCTATACGGTATTCATGCTAGACTTTATCTAGTAGGTACCGCTCCACCGACGGTGACTTCTGCAATATTTGAGAACTGCCCTTTCTACACTCGATCCATGCATACTTGTAATATACGGCTAAAGACAGCCAAACAGCTAGAGAAAAGATTGCACCCGGAAACATCTGCAGGAGTGTATCGAGCAAGATGAGGGGCGGCTGAGCCGATAACCATGGAACCCTTGAAGCATCTTGAGAGTCAGCTTGCAGAGGACAATTGCGGAGATTTTGAAAAAATCTTGATCACTACTTCCCACTTCAATGAAGCAGTTGAATGCTCGAGATTCTCGGGAACACGGTTGAATAAAACATTAATTTATGCGGCATTAACTCTGTCTTGGGTAGAATATGGTTTAGAGCAAGGCATTTTAGCGGACATTGAGAAGGATGTTGAGAGTGAGAAGGAAGGCGAGGATGGGAATGACAACAACAACGAGAAGTAGCGTGAGATGGCAACAGCAGTAGTGACGGCTGTCAAGAACTAATTGCAAGAAGAAGGAACCGTCTTTCAAATTCGGAGAGGAGCTGCATCGTGCGCTACCAAGCTTAATGTGGTAATCTGTGTGAGGGGCAATTTCTACATTAGGGCACGGTCTGTTACAACGGTACCGCCAAGGTAATGCAACGAGGAATGGACATGAAGACTTCTTTCAAAACACACTCGCTGTTTCTTTTTGTCATAATGGATAGACAGTAATGGGTACCTGGCATACATGTACTCATGGAGCGTCTAGTGAGGACTATGGTTGTGCGTCTTATTTCAACACATCAGGATGTAAGACGTTGTTGCGGCTTTAGCTCCATATTACGATCAGTCCCCAGAGAGATTTTGAAGTAAATGACGTATTCGTAGCTGCTATATAGCAGATGTATAATCTAGATGCAGCAATGGCCAAGAGATGGGTTCGTGGGCATGGTTTCGGTTGGCGTGGTGCATGAGGCGTACGTCAGCAGTCACAGCCACACCAGAAGCAGCCACGCCACGCGTCCTCGACGCATTCGAGGTCCCTTCCATAGCGCCGTTCCCCTCCCATCCTTCCGCAACGCGTGTGCCCCTTGAAATATTACCAATTACCCGTATTTTTAGAAGCCCCTCTACATGTACTACAACATGTTGGCCTGAAAGTGTTTGGACTCTCCCGGCCGAGCCTATCGCCATGCACACCGTCCACGACTTCATATCAGCACTTCTTCCACCACCCAATCCGGAAAGATCGGCCTGGGTCCATGCCTTGACTAAACTTTTATTTCGGCCATATCTGAGCATAGCGCCCTCAAAACAGGAGACGTCGCCACCATGCAGCGACCCAGGACACCTTCGCAATTGTCGCCAGGCCACAACTCTTTCCGGTACCGCCCCTTGAGTCACGCGGATGGCGAGGACTTTCGCATTCTGTGCCTCTACCCCGGCACGCTCGACGACCCAATTCGTTGTGATCTTCTCCATTCAAGTCTCGACTCCGATATTGAGTACGAAGCACTTTCCTACAGCTGGGCAACCGAAGATGGAGACGACAGCCTCTCCCAGCACATTGGCTGCGCATATGTAGGCGATGAAGGCTGTGCGGAATTCCCGGTAACCTCAAACTGTGCTTCTGCACTGCGCAGATTGAGACTGCCCTCTCAGGAGAGATTCTTGTGGATCGATGCCATTTCTATTAACCATAGCAATATCGAAGAGCGAAACCACCAGGCCGGACTCATGGCCGACATATACGCTGGGGCCTCGCAGGTCCTGGTGTACCTCGGAGAAGAAGACCTCGGCTTCGCATCCAGGAGCCTATGGCTGGACAGCGAGAGACGCCAATCAGCCCTGACAAAGCTTTTTGCAAAGAGATGGGTTTCCAGAGCATGGGTCATTCAGGAGGTGGCACTCGCACGAAAACTCATGATGATCATGGGAGACGCATCATGTGCCATGGATGCCAACCTGATGAGTCGGATCCGTGGACGGGCAAAGATTTCACGACTGCAAGTTCCTGGTCCGCTAGCTTGGGATCCTCTGGCTAGCGCCCCGACAAGAGATCTACTCACATTGCTGCTCCTATCACGACATTGCAGCTCTACAGATCCAAGAGACAAAGTATACAGCCTGCTGGGACTAGTGGGCGAACGCCTGCAAAACCTCATCACTATCGACTACGCTCAAAGCATCGAGGAGGTCTTGGTGCGTACGGCTGCAGCCATCATCACTTGTCGAGAGGACTTCGAGCTTCTGGCATATGCATCATTGTCTCTCGGACCTCGCCATACAGAAAAGGGGTTACCGACTTGGGTGCCGGATTGGATAGAGCATCAAGGCGACATGACGCTGCGTCCTCAATTCCAAGAAACTAGGATAGGCCCCTGGCGGTCTCTCGAAAAGCTATCCGGAAGCTCTTCTAGCGCCGCAGAGCTAGCCAAGATGGATTGGACAACAATAGTTGATATACCTTCGAGGTGGCCTATTGATCCATATTTGACACCATCTGTTACCGTCCGTGCACATTGTCTTGCGACTATTGACAACACGACAAAAGAAGGATATGGCCCATCAGCACGATGGCTAGATGGTCAAACCTTTGGTCGCGATGTAATGGGTTTGATAGGTAGCGGGTCAAACCGAACAAGTCTCGATCCAAGAACATGGCCTGCACAATACAACTGGCTACTGGATCCGTCATACACTCGCTCCATATCTTCCATGATGCAAAATAATACCGCGTCTGCAATGGGACCCCCTGAAAGTATCTACCGAACCGCAGTACAGCATTTCTGTGCTGAACTCGAAACACACGGCAAGAACCAGTACATTTTCCGAGCAGGCATGCTTCCCGCAGTAACAAGCCACAATTTTGTCGAAGGCGACAGCGTATGGGCCATAGACGGCTGCAGGATCCCTCTTATCCTGAGGCGGACGCGTGATTCCGAGGGCTACCGGATTGTAGGCAACTGCCATATCTTTGCCCTATCACATATGGACTGCTGGTCTACGTCAGGGACGGGGCTCGAGCAACGGTGGAGTTTTGATCCCTTTCGCCACATGGATCCGCTAGGCACACAAAGAATAAAGATTGTGTGATTGTTTAGAGAAACGGTTATGATGGCTTGTTCAAGACTTTTTGTTTTTACCCTGTGAAGTCGATCATTGCTCTCTTGGTCGAGCACGTATGGTGCTGGTATGCACTCGACTTTGTTTCCAACCGTGCATTTTATTTTATTTTCGCCTGCATACTGTGCCCTCCATTAGCCTTGTTTAATTCGATTCATACGTTGTTCTGCAAATGAAATGTAACCTTACCGACTTTTGCTAACAAGACAAGTCTCAATAGAGGATTTATCAGATATACTCCTTTGTTTCTCGCTCAGTACATTGTCATCATAGCATCAGCATCGTTCGAGCAACTTTGTGAGCCCATCAACTCCCAGCAGCGAGAGAAAAAGAAAGGAGCTGGGAGCCTACATTCATAGAAGCCCCCAAAATGGTATCAACATGCAAAAAAAACTAATCAACAAAATTGATATTTACACTCATAACATCCATCTCATTAGCTCCATACAGTCCCCTATCTCTTCTTCTCCCTCTACCTCTCCAAAAAAAACCTCCCAACAATCCTTATCTCCCACAAATGCGCTTCACGGATAAACTGCGGCTCCTTTACCACATCCCTGATCCCCCTTCCATCCCACACATGTCCCGCATCCATAATCAGATAGCTCGGATAATCATCACTGCTGATGCGTATCTCGTCTGTCAGCGTAGAACGGTAGGAACGCGTGTTTGAGTTTGAGGGGTCGGCGTAGTAAGTGGTGTTGTGGGTACTGAAGCAGCCGTAGTCGGTGCTGTCGATGCGGCCACTGGTGCAGAGGGAGACGACATCAGTTTTGACATAGTAGGCGGCGTAACCGCCGAGGCCGGTCCAGGGCTCGCCGTACCCTGGGACCGAGTTGATTTCTTGCAATGTATATGTCGGGTAGGATATGGGACCGCCCATGGGGAAGGAGATGGTTGCAGCAAAGTCCTAAATAATGGAGTAGGAGGCTAGGCCGAAGATTTCCTCGAGTTGTTGAATGGCGGCTGTGTTGCTGCTCGCGGTTAGGGCGTCTATCTTGTCGACTATGGATATGATGCGTGAAGTACAGTCTGAAGGGGCGAACTTCATCACTTGCTTGTACCAGTTGGGATACTCGTATTGGACCGTGATGGTGGCACTGCTAACCGATGCTGCCGGCGAAAATGTCATTGTAAATTTTCATCGTGAATGCTAACTGTGAGCTGGCAAGAGAGCCACCGTACATGACCCATGGTGTGTCGTGATTGCTCAGGTTTGCACGAACGCCTGGGAATTGACGTGCTGTCTAAAGTACTTATTGTCGACAATAGCTACCCCGATATTTAATCCGTTGTCATGAAAAAACCCAAGATTCCCAGACCATCCACTTACTTTGCTCAGTAGTCAAAAAATCTCAATTCATCCGTAGTAGTCGTATTGTACAAGACACCATACCCATAATACCAGTTCTCAAGAATAACACGAAGCCCACTGAACTTTTCCATCAAAATCCGTATAACTAGATTATCACGTATCGTTAGCCACCATCGGTACACACATACACAAACCCATATGTGTTTTTTTGAATACAGAACAACTCACTTTCCATCCGTAAATTTTCAAGAAGTTACTTCCCCCCCCCCCCCACGTCTCTCCACCGATGTACAAGAACAACGGGCCACCAGGCTTATAAAACGACTTGTCGAAGACTTGAAGACACACATAACGTCAGCTCCTTCACCTCATTGTAGTGTGATTGGGGGGGTTGAATGCTTACAATATCTTTGTTTAAACGTCCCATTCATATGTAGCACGTAACGATCGCTCTGTGGATAATGATCAATCTGCAGTGCGCCCCCCAAAAGGTCAACATAAAATTCTTTTTTTCCTTCACTCTAATACCACGCAAAGAGCGTCGCCAGGGCTGTTATTTTTTTGAAAGCAAGACGGAGAAGCAATACCAGCTGATCAATCTCATGCGCATCATACGCCCACTCCCTGTTCTCAAGCCGGTCCTTCGCCGGCGCAAACGCAGGCATTCTCGCAGACCCCAGAGCCGCCAGGCTGCTCGCAAGCAGCGCCAGCACTTGCACTCTCATCTTTTTATTTTTCTTTCTCTCCTTTCACAGTTGAAATTGATGGCGTCCGGTTATATTAAAAAACTTCAAACTTTGGTCGTATGTTTAGGATTCTGGTAACTCCGGAAGGAAAGGGGAAAAGGTGTGTATGCATTATCCAACTTGCTTGGTTTATATATACATGTACTATGGAAACGAGCCATTTTTTCTTCTCTAGATAGGGTGATACCTTCGGAACATTAATCTTCTTTCTTTACAATGTAAGCACGTAAACCGTATATTATTGATTGATGGTTCAGGGTAAGGGCGGTTAAGCATGGTAGCTGCGGAATATACAAATTACCGAGACGCTGCCTTTGTGATAGATGATGTAACCGAGTTTTTGGATAGTCTTGAGTTATACTGTGCCCATTCACGTACGGCAGAAGGCGCTGAGATGAGAACCAGGTGTAGTGTATTGTAGCTATTTTGCAATCAACTCGGAATGTACTAGTCCAAATTTGTTAGCATTTCACTACACAAAGAAGATAAGCTTACTCCCTCTGAACTTCACTTACATCTTCATAAATGTCAAAGAGTGTTAATGAAACAATTTTTAAGTATCTCAAAGAGATTTAATAGCTTATAGCTCTGTAGTAGAAAAACAAAGATCCGTTAAAAACTTACAGTAAGAGAGGGTTAGAATAGCTGTAAAATGATATAATATGAGAAGGACGTTTTTGGTGTAGAAGACTAAGTAATCTAGCATTTATAACTTCGACAGGGACCCCTGTGCGTTCCGCCGTATGTGACCGTCTGCAGTACATTGCTAGATGTATTGGTTAACCTGCTGATATTGAATCGGTATCCTGGGGAAATTGAGCCTGGATGGTTTATGAAAATAGGACAACACAAAATTAACTTGTTGTCTTCGTACCTGAATGTCCCATCACCATTTCATTTCACCGCCTCCCTCGACAGCCTGACTTGCAATCCGCACGCTTATACATACATAGCATCAGTCACAACCATCTGCAGAATACTCTCACCGCCACCAAACCAGTTCCCGTTCCCGTCCCTCCCTCTGACTCCATCTACAAACCCCTCCAGCATATACCTACACGTAGCCCACCGGTCCTCCTCCTCCTCTGCCTTACCAGTCTACTCCCACGTATACGCCTTAAATCTGTCCATCTCTTTCGTATTCCCAACAACCTCACTCGACCCCACCTTCCTCACTGTAGTAACAGTCTTAACGTCAACTCGATGCCACACATGAGGCCCCATAAAACTCCGCGAGACAAACCGTCTCACACCGCGTCTTCTCCAAACCGCTTTCATGCCTAACACCTAGCACCTCACTCCGCAACCGCACACGCACACTCGACATCGCACCACGGAAACTAGACTAGTTTGCCCATAAGCCACAGAAATCCATCACCCCCCCCCCACAAATCCGCATAAACAATAGCTCCCCAGTCCCACTCATTAGTAAACTGCACATGTATGCCTAGCACAGCCCAATCGCAGCACCGATAAAAAAACGGGCGGGCAGAGGGAATAAGCCGAGGAGTAGTCGCAGTCGCAGTCTACTTACTACTACCCATCCACGGACCTTACTTACCCCAAAGGCACTGCGGACGAGCGCTGACAAAAGAAAACGTACATAGTTGCCTAGATGCATGGCGCAGCCGTCCCCCCCGCCGCCTGCAAGGTCAAGAGTTTGAAGCGGATGTCATGGCCGGCAGGGGGGGGGGGGGGGGAAGAAGCCGGCTGGGACTGCGGGCGCGGGCTCTCGGGCGTGCCTTTCGATGTATGTGTGTGTGGCGTCGAATTGGGGAGAGGAAAGAGGTGCCCGGGCGGGGGTAGGAAGCGGTAGTGGCTTGCCTCTAATAGGACAGGTTGCATGGGAGGGGGGCGCTGTTCAGGATGGCGTGATGGGAGAGCGAGTCATGCTTCTTGGGGGTTTGGAGATGGGATGAGTTCTCAAGGAGGATATTGTTTTCCCTGCTTTGGGGGCTGTAGTGGAGACCATTTGGGAGGGGTTGTACATGCAGTCAGTCGATTGATAATGGGTCGGCGATGAGAGAGCTGTGCAGGATATCTTTGAGTCTTGTAGTATGCTTTTTGTCTACTTCTTCATGTATATATCTTGCACGTGGGAAAGGCACACACAACTCACCCTCATAACTATCATGTAAAATGGGAGTATTCCATCGTTGAGCAAATGTCTCTGCCTTTCCGTTTGTCTCGCGCTGCCACCGCAACGACGATTACATCGGTATGGGATCGTGCGGGGATAATCAGCGCCTTGAGAGTATGTGCTCGACAAGATGCAGGTTAGGTCTAGCTCATACCTCCTCTTCGAGAAGATCCATCGCGTGGCGACAAATGAGAGAGATGCAATCATGCACGCGATTTTCGCTGCACCAAGAATACCAAAGCGAAGGGCATCATCCTTCTTGGCCACGGGCTTGCGTCCAGCAGCCCATTTGCCAAATTCATCGAGCGAGCTGAGCCAGTCGATAATTGTCATGGAAGATAAGAGGGTATGTTGGCGAGTAGGACGGAAGAGAAGATGCAGGTTTTGGCAGGCTGGCGCAGTACAATGACGACAATTGGAGAGATAGTGCTGCACGCCTAGATGTTGCCATGGAGCGGGGAAGGTTCGTGAAACCGTGGATGCAGCGCTCGTCTCTCGAACCGCCATGATACCTGGGGAGAGAAAGAAAGAGAGAGAGAGAGATGGTGTGCTGGTAGATACCAGCTATACTCACGCACCTAACCTAACTGGCCCAAGGACTCGTCGTGGACATTGTTTCTTCTCGTATTCAGTCTAAACACCTTACCTACTTGCCAACTCGTACAGTTGACGCTTGTGCCTTGTATGGCGCTCCCAACGAAAGAGTGCATTAACTACGATAGTTTAGCTCAACACAAGACCAAGCCAACGGTTCACTGAATGCCAGGAAACCACTCCAAGGCATTGTCAAGAGTCAGATGGGTGGTCAGCATGTCAAGTCAGCCATAGTAACCACTGTGCCGGTAAGCAGCCACATAGTTCCTTCCTCCCCAAAGGTCCGTTCTTGATCCATGAGGCGCCCGGGCTATCGCTGTCTTGGCATCGGACAAGGCAACAAGCTGCAACTCCTTTGTGTCGCTCTTTGTTCCGTCTTACGTGCATGCATGCGATACAGATAGAGTGGACACATGTACATAGCGGAAGTTAAAATGCAGCTGAGGCTCGGCAAAAAGCCATATCAGGCTGAAGTCCTGGCATCTGATACCGAATCCGGAGAGAGCTTACTATACATACAGATATGCGACGTGTGACGGGGTTTCGGACCTTGGAAAAGATGGGGATCGGTTAGACGGAGCGGACCCATTATCAAACTGGCCCCTTGTGCAAGAGATATGCGCACATAGTTTGTGGTCAGGCGTTCTGGCTGACCTTGCAGGTTTGATGGTGTATTGGACAACGTGGCTATGCCGCACTATATGGGCCAGAAATAGGTTCTTTGAGCAAGGAAGATCCCCACGCTGCATTCATGTTCATATGCGAACTCAGCCCCCTATAACCACCCCTTGTCAGGGCAAATGTCGGATACATGGACATGGACATGTATGTAGTAAATACATATTGTATGTACAGCACATGTGCCTGCATCCACCAGTGGGATCTAGAGTGTGGCAGCCACGATTAAAGTACTTGCAAAACTTGGTTTGCCCGCGGATGGTGTGATATGCTGGAATGGTGCAAGCCTCGCCGTGTTGGGACCAATTTTTGGGGGGTGGCTAATCCAGGGTGGATTCCACAACCGAGGCATGAATCGTAGGGTGGGCCATTGTATACCGTTTTGGGATATGGGTTTGCGGTCGCTTAGCCCAGGAGCGTACTTAATGTCCGAAGGAAACGGAGTTTAGGTGGGGGAATAAGATGAGGCTGAGTGGCAAAGGGGGCCAGCAAGCAGGCAAGCAAGCAAGCAAGCGCGGGATGATGATTGCTATTGTCAGCACGGTGACCGTGTTTCAGGGTTCAGTGAGCGAGTTGGAAAAAAAAAGCACAGAGCGGCAGTGGCGGAAAAAGGGTGAGGTCACGGTCAGGACAGCCGGAGATGGGTGGCCGCGTTACCGCATCGGACGAGGCGCATGAACGGCAGGTTCAGGAGGCTGCGGTTTGATCGACAGGGTCCCACACCGACGTGCATTGTGTGGGAGATATTGATCCACGAATGCCTGGGTGCCTGCGAAACAGATGGCGCAAGCGATGTGCAAAAAGGATCGGATGCTTCATGTTGCCCTTGGATCGTGCGGCTTGACCCATTTGCGCGTGCTGAAGCACAAAGGTAAGGAAAAGTTTGTGCCTTTAGTGGGTTACATGTGTGGTTGCTGTCGACGTCAATGCCGGTGCGAGTGCTTTGCAGCATGGTAGATGGGCAGAATGGCAATGTCCGCACCGGTGAAGGTTGTTGGCAGACGAGAAAAACCTTATGTCTTCGCCGAGAGTACTGGCGACTGGGCAAATCATGACGAAAGTTGTTTGGGCTGTCACGCATGCGCCGTGGTTTGAAGGTTGCGCATCACGCCAGCCAGTCACATGAGCAAAAATAGATGGCGATACGCAGCGTGTGTGATGACGGGTTCTCGCTTGTGAAGGAAGCGGTGAGAGGAAGAGTAGGCGCAAAGTTGAAGGCGGATCTTCCCTTTGCATTGGCCAATGGCAGCGCTGCAAACAGCGGCCACTCAGGATTTTTTTGTAAAAACCGCCTGTCCAGTAACAAGTAGCAGTGTGACGAGACCCGGCGATATGGTTCTGGTCGACTAGACGACGGCCAAATCGTAACGGCGTCGGTGTTGAGACGGTGGCAGGCTGGGGTACACCGCTGGTAAATGGGCGTGCCAATGAGTCAGAAGAGCGGCGGTTCTGAGTAAATGACCGAAGGACGGGTGCGTCGAGCAAGATTTGGTTCTTGTCTGGGCGGACTTGTCGGTGCGAAGAGTGCATTTAGCGCGCGTGGGGACAGTGAAAAAAGGCATCATGAGCAGGACTGCCACTAAGGCACGTCGAGCAGGGGATCCACGATCTGCATGCAAAGAGGTGCGATGTGAAAATACGGATATGAGTCAGATTGATCTGCCAGGGATGCAGAAAAGCAAAAAAAAGCCATGTGTGTGTGTGTGTGTGTGTGTGTGTGTGTGTGTGTGTGTAAGGAAGTAGGCAGCCATGGTGGAGAGAGAAAGAGAGCAGGGGATTTGGCTGGATGCATGCATGCACATGCCATGCGTGTGTGTGATTGTGTGCCTAGAAAGCAGCACACTGACACACCCAGCACACGCGAGGGAAGTGGGTAGAAGCGTCAGACGATGGCGTAGCCCAAACGCCTCGTCTGGCTGCTTCAAGGGTGGATTGACGTCTGACATTGCGCATCTTTGTTCCTAGATTTGGAACCATGGGGGCGCACAGAGGACATGCAGGCTTACAACGTCGTGCTGCACCCCCCACAACCAATCGCTTAGCAGGCGCCCTCCGACTCTGCTGCTCCAACAATCAAATAAAATGTGGGCCGAGAATGGTATGGCGCATAGACGAGCACAAAAACATCACTCGGAAAAACCTGATTGAGACGAGGAAGGATTTACAAGCCCAGCCGCACGCTCCCTGTGATTGCCCGACCACCACCAGCAGCCAAGTGTGGCGTCGGTCCTCGCCCTCGCCCACTCGCTCGCTCGTCTCCCCATTGTCCAGGATGGTCGGGTTGCGGGTGTGACCTGGTGGTGTGCTCATTCCCAAGCATCAAACGCAGCCAGGGCGCCTTTCTCCGCCCTGCTAAGACAACGTGGCTGGACGAGCGGGGCCCGTAGTCGGACCAGGCCGGGCAGACGGGCAGTAAGTAGAATAGAGCAAAGTCAGAGCATGTAGTAAGTAGAGTACAGTAGCAGGTAAGCGTAGTAGCGCTGCCGCTGCTGCTGCTGCTCCTCCAAGCCATTCACGTGGCTGTCTGCACCCGCGGGATGCGCCACGGCTAATTAGACAGTATCATGACGAAGACGAGACGAGGGAGAGAAGGTTAGAGAGCGAGCCGGGCAGACAAAGGGCAGCTAGGCTTACCCACTGCCACCACCACTACCGCACCACTCGGCACTTGGTCCGACTTGGATGTATCGGCGTGCAAGCAAGCAAGCAAGCAGGTGGAGTAACCAAGTCAATCATGAGCGGTGAGATGGTGCAACGCTCGCAACCCGCCGTACGCGGTTTGAGCAACAACGGTCTCTGACCTAGCGGGGCCATGATGCGTCGTTAGTAAGAATAGAGTCATCGAGGCGTATCTACTATAGCTGACCAAGGCGGGCTTGCACACGAGTCCGAGTATGCCTATTGGCCTTTTGCAACTCCAACACGCCCATCGTCGACAGACAAGGTGCGCCGACCCATTGTGGGCTTTGCTATCGCTGCTGCTGCTATTGCTGCTGCACTGCAACTGCAACTGCAACTGCACATGCCGGGGATATGAATTCTTCCAACGCATATACCGGTCACGCGGAAGCTTTCGGTAGGGGCGGGTCAGGAACATGCAAAGGGCCAGCGTTGGCCTGACCAGGCAGGCCCCCCGTGTTGGCTGCCTCTTGCACTTGTAAGGTAGACGTCACCAAACGGGCCACGACGCGCTTGTCCGGTGGTGGTGGTGTACGAGTACGTGTGCGTGTACACTACTACCTTGAGAAGCGTCCACGGGCCTCGTCCCATGCGTGCGTGTGCCTAACCGTCGACGAGCCGCTCCACTCGCTGCAGCGCTTGTATCCATGCCTACAGTAGACCTGAGACTTCCCATTCTTAGCCCCGCGCCCTTGGCGGATAGCGGATAGCCACAAAAAAATATTGGTGGTGTGCACGGCAACTACCCTTGAGCCCTCGGCTCTCTCTGCCTGTGTCTCCAGCACCGGCCCCTTCGACCGGCTGATGGGCTTGCTTGCTTTGCTCATGTTGGATAAAATCAAATGATGATGATAACAATAATCATCGTCGTCGTCAGCATCATGCAAGTGTCACACTGGGGCGGCATAGTAGAAGGTGATATGAGTAATAAGGAGGTGATCTTGGATCAGGTTATTAATGCTACAAATCAAGTATTTGTGGGTATTCCGCCAGGCTACTGTGGTGCCGTCTATGATTGCTGAAAACTCCAGAAGCGAGTGATGCACTGAGCACACAGCCAAAAATGTCCCAAGCGCCAACTAATGCATGCAAAAATCAAGTCGCTCAGTATTACAACGATTGTGGTGCGTGTGCCAAATAAGTCTAGTAGTGATGATGGTGATGGTAAAAAAAAAAGAAACAGGCGTCTATCGAGAAGATTCATTTCCATCCACTCGAGCCAGCGGAGTGTGTTGGATGCAGGAGCGTAAACAAGTCGAGGCACGAGGCGCCAAGACCAGTGTCGACGTTGCTATCCGAGGGTGATGCGTAAGAGTGCGTTTAACCGGATATCTCGTCAGGTAGTCAGGTGAGTGACAGGGGATGTTGGGTCCGAAATCCAAGGCACCAAGTGCGTCGAGAAGGTCGCGTCGTACTAGTTGGTGCCTGGCGTGGGTGTAGCATGCCAAGCAGCCGTGGGCGGGTTGAATGGGAGCCAGGTGGTGGTATTAGGCCATGTTGGTGGTCGAGGATGCACGCCATGGTGCGGTGCCGGTCGGGGCACTAAAGCCAGGCGGCTAGTCCAGGACAGAACATGCGAGCGGAAGTGGTTGACGATGCTCAGTTCTTCTTTGTGGGGATGGCTGGCAGAGGGCAGGTTGGTGGTGGGCCGGGGCATGGAGGAAGGTTCTGGGGAGCCATGATGTCGTTGCAGAGGGTGGCAGCCATTGGATGTTTGGTGGGTGGGTTGTTTGGTAGAGTTTGCAGAGTGGTTGGCGAGATGATTGGATGGGACTAGCAGTAGTCGTCGTCGAGTGGTTGTTGTAGTGTGGTAGTGTAGTGGTAGTAGTGGCCGTGTGGGATGGATGGTGTGCAGAGAGAGAGATATAAAACTCTTGTCGTGTGTGTGTGCTGGATTCGGCTCTGGATGATGAAACGAGCGTCGTGACAGTGGGGGCGCAAAGTATTTATGCTTGTGCTCAGATTGCAGAGGCCTAAAATGTCGGTCAGCTCTGTGCTTTGGCAGAGGGTGTAATGATGGCGGGCACGGGCCAAGCGGTGAAAGAGGCGTTGGGCTGACGAGCAGGAAAGGGGGGGCTCCTGGCGTGTGCATGAGCTAAACCAGGCCGAAACATTGCCCATCCCGGTCTGTTAATGAGCAGGGGTGCGAGCAAACACGAACCTTTGCGTTACCGCTGGCCGTTTCATCAGCCTTGTGACTGTGTGAATTTGGCACTCGCCCAATCCCGCCGCAGCAGTGTCGCCGCGCCCTGCCCGCCCTCTGCCCTCCCGCCCAGACAGCGCATCATCACTGGGGCCACGCTCAAGGCTGCCACCCCCGACCCACGCCAGCAGCGGCCTTGGACTATTCCCGGCCAGCAGCGCACACAGCGGACAGCGAACTGCGGCCACGGCGCGCGGGCAATTGCAACTGGCCAGTTTGCGTCTGACATCACACGCTGCGACTGCGACGGGGCTAGTGCCAACGGCCGTGGCCACCGTGGGCAGGCAATGAAACGCCCTTCTCCTTTTCTCCCACCGCGCCCGGCCTCCCTCTACGACGACCCACGAGGCCTTCCCAGCCCGCCGTTCGGTGTGTACGCACCACTCCCTCAGAGCCTCCCGTTTGCCAAACCTTGACCGACATGGCGTGTCAGAACGCCGCCAGTCTGACACAGTTGCTGCCAGCCTTGGCCCGCTCAATTTGCGACGCCGCCCGTCGCCCATCTCGTCTGCCCACACACGGTCCCCTCTGACTTGCAGCGCAGCGTGCAACCACACGGCCTCCTAGCGCCCATGGCCGCCTTCTCCCGTGCTTCTTCCAAGCTTCGATCCAATTTCTCCCAAAAGTCCCCTCCCCCCTAGAATTTTCCGCTCCACTGCGGGCCTCGCTCTGCTGGCGGTCAAGGAAAGCATGGCACGACGACACTCCTGGTCCTGGTCCTGGTCCTGCTGCTGCTGCTGCTGCTGACCCTGGCCCGCTCAATCGGCCGTGCCTCTGCTGGCCGACATGCCGGGGTAATCATGTTTGTCATTGTGCGATAGCGCGCGAGAGTGCATGTCTGCATGTGGTATACGCTGTACGACCACTTAGTCACTAGTAAGTAGCCGTGTAGCATCTGTCCTTGCACGGCTGCCTTCAATCGTCGTCAGGTAGGTACGTAGGCAGGCTGTCGGCAAGGCACACGCACGTAGTCAGGCTTATTTTTGTCCTGGACCTTGGCCACATTCGCATCACTCGTATCGTGCTGCTCCCTCCCTCCCTTTGTCCAATGGCAGTTCGGCTGGGCCGGACGCAGTGTGCAAGGCGAGCTGCAGCCACTCGGCCCCCATGTGGCCATTCGGCTGCCGCGGAGACGAGCAAAGCAGGATGAATGGAGCTGTCGTGCTCATCCTTTTTCCTGCCTGGCGCGCCCTCCACGTGGGCCGGCAGGGTTATCGCCTGTGTGACCTCAGGCAGGACCATGTTTCTTTGATGGACATAGTTATTGTGCTAATATTGCAACTTCATGCCTCAGCGTCCGCAAATATACGTGTGCCGTGCGTGTGGCTTGCCTACTAAGCTTGCCTGCTGACCTTGCCTTGGCAAATCACGCTCACGGCCATGTGATGGGAACCGTTCGCCTTGTCACCATTTCCCCTTCCCAATAACCGTCGGTACCCTGGACAGGTTTGAGACTGCGACTAAGCAATGGGCCTTGTGCAATGCCCGAGGCCATTTTGGGTGGGAGCGTGGGCACCAAGCGAGCAGATCTACAGGGGCAGCCATCGACGTCCGAGCGCGCCCACCGCCCCCCAGGCCAAAAAACCGAGAGCGCGAGAGCGAGAAAGAGGGGCCAAAAAACAAAGCAGCGCCCATGACGCCTTCGGCAATTAATTGGCTTGCACGCCCATTGCCAACACCGTCGTGCCGTTTCAGCGCGGTGGAGCGCAATTCGACCTTCCTGTTACAAGTGCCTGCAGCAACGTTGCGTCCGCAGTAAGACCATGGTTCGAGCAAAAAAGACGTTTGCATTTGTAACTGTCTCATCCACTCTCATCATCCACACTGTCCCGACGGCTCGGACAACGCGGAGAGGGCGGAGCGGCGAGGAGGCGCCGAGCCCTGTGACGCTGCCGTGGGGACTATTGGCTGCGTATAGTATCGACCTCCCTAATACACAAATAACCATCATCTACCCACACGCGCCTGACGTCTTGATCTCGCTTTTCCTCCGACCTCTGCCCATTTTCTCACTGCAGTCACCTCCTAGCTGCCAATAAAGCCACACGCCTATCATTTGCCTATCCCCATTGTCCTTGTCCGCGATCGACATGCGCCGCGGGCCAAAAAGGACTGCCAGACTGGCTCTGAACTCTATCCCTCGGCCACGCGTTCCTCTCCGCCGTCCACCTTTGCCCTCAGCTGCGGCCTCTTTGTTTCCCGCACTCGCTCCAAGCTGCTAATGCCTGACTGCCGGCCATGTCCAGCCACACATACACACACACTGCCGTGGCTGGTTCTGGATGGTCAGCTTCTGCTGCTGCAGGTACGCGTCAAGCCTTGTCCGCCCCGCCACCCCACGCCCGTGGCTTGCGCTGCTCTTCGCGTCGTGAAACAAAGGCTCGACCACCACCAAGCCCAGATCCGGCGAGGCCGAAGCGCCAATGACACGTCTGCTTTGTTGACACTAGACAAATTTCTCTAGACTGTATAGACGTCCACACCTGCGTAGCAGGCTGAAGCCAGAACATCCCAAGGGCTGATTGCAGAGCCAGCAACGGGCTGGCCCATGCCAAGACCATAGTTCTTCTTGAGGCTTGAACACCAGTCACGGTGACATTTGGCGCTTTTTTGGTGGTGACATGCTAGATCGCTCTGTGATGCCCTCTAGTGCACTGCAGTGCAGCCAGCCCATCCACCGCCATTACAACGCATACATACACATCATCTAAAATGCGCCCTTTTATCTCGACCACCGTGTTTCTCTTGCGTGGTGCCGCGTCTCAAGTACAGTATCTCCAATCAAACCTGATCATCAGCCACCCATCCCTCGCTCATCGACATGCAGGGTTGCACAGGTGCACGGGCACGCGATGCTGGCCAAGGTCGCGCAATAGCTGTGGCGCATAAGTAAGTATTCGTCCAGCCTGGCAAAAACGGTTCGTTGCCTGGCGCAGCCTCTGATACGCACCGATCGCCAGGCCGTCCCCGCCCTCGTCCAATGCAATGGTAAGCCCACGTGGAATAGGAAAATGACATGAAGCCACCGTCATCACGATTCGTCGCTAGTACGTATGTGCTAGTAGACTGCCTTTCTTCGGCAAAATATCTCGCATCTCACCCACCCACACGCACATCAGCAGGTGTGCACTAATCTAGTCGCGTGTCGGCTTTGCATTGCACCGTCTATAGGGCGTCGTCGTCTTCATCTTGCTGGCCAGCTATAGCTTGCGTCGAGACCCAGTTCTCGAGCATGGCCTGGCTATCAGATGCTGCACCGCTTGCAGGCGCCGCATTTCGGGCCCTACGCCGCTTGACCACCAAACACAGAATGCGACCATAGATGCTAAATCCATCGTAGCATGTCCGGAGGCCGAGTTTCTTAGTCTCATCTCCTCGTTGACCCTCATCCTGGTCTTGCGCTGTATTTCCTGTAATGCTGGCTTGTTCGGACACAAACAGGTCGGATGTCTCGCTATCGCTAGCCTCGCTGCACAGCGTAAGCACTTTTGGGCGCCATTCTCAGAGTTTGTTTCCCTCATGCATACCTGTGTTGCTTTCTCGCTGTCTTGGCCTCGGGAATATCAAAAAGATTAACTGCACCGCTGTCCTCTTGCCTTATTGCGATTGGCTCTGCTGCATCTTCATTGATTACAACCGGCTGATCACTTGTCCCGGATGTTAGCCATCCCGTGAGTTTGCCCGAGTTGCTCTGAATGCGGGCCTTGTCCTTGAAGATCTTTTGCTTTGTGAGAATGGAGTGTCGGGATGAAAGCTCCGTCAAGAAGATTGAAACTTCAAAGTCATCTGAGGGCAGGTTAGCCAGTGATTGGCACAGGCCGCAGTTAACATTCTCGTCTGCATCGTTCGGCACTCCCGGACATGCAGCTTACCTTCAATCACCACATCCTTGACTCCCTTCTTCTTTGCTTTGGCACCACCCCGTCCCTTGCCTCTTTCGTTTTCCTCTCGGAGTTTGGGCAACACCAGCGGTCGCACTGCTTGGATGACGCGTGGCAGTGCTGGGTCGTCGCGCTTCAGTAGCCATGCATCTGCATCGGCTGGCCGATCTAGATAGATGCGCACTTCGATGACCGAGTGTTTGGTGATTCGGAGATATCTTCGGAGCGGCGCCATGATCTTCGATATGTTTCAAGAATGGCAGGTGTAGCATGTACATATGTAGAACGGTTAGACTAAAGGTCCGACAGCCCTATGGCATTTGGCAATGATGCGTGTTCACGTGCAAGCGTTCCGACCCTAGTTCCGATCGGCATGCGCAAAAGTTGGTTGGAAGGACCGCTAGGATGTTGATGAGCACAAGACACTCTCCGCAACGCCGCACAAGCAATGGTGCTAGAACTCCACGTATGGGGTCCCGCATTCGGCCTCGCTTCTATAGAGGCCGAATGCATAGCCACTATAGCATACTGCCACCGCGTCATTCCAGCGGGGGAATGGTCCTTGGTCGCAAGCCATAATCCAACAGTCGGAACAGCAGGTACAGATACTGGTCCCCGGTGGCAAGTTGCCCGTTGACTCACTCATTCCAGAAATACTACCGATTCTCTTTGACGACGGCGTTGCAACGGCGTCGGGGTTCGAGGACATTGTTGCCTATCTTCGCAACTACCCCACAGTCACCAACGACATAGATGCTGATCTCTCAAGCACCCAGCGGACTGACCGGACTGCGTAAGCAACTCACGCACTGATACCAAGAAAGCATCTCACACGACCCAGGTTCGGCACCTTTCTCCAGGCTACAGCAACGCCGCTCGTTGATCTCTCCCTCTACGTTTCAGCCGAGAACTACAACAAGACTACTACGTCCGCATACACGGCCATTCTACCATGGTACGCAAACTACACGGTTCCGCCCAGACGGCGAGACTTGGCCCGGATGAGGACGGCACATATGGGACTGAGCAGTCTGGACGTGGATACTTCGGCTGAGGAAGAGTTTGCGCCTGGCCGGGGGACTGCATCCTCAGAATACGAAGCAGCCAAACGCGCTGCTGGTATACCTACCGAGAGTCAGCCCAGGTCTCTAAACATAGGACGGGGCAGAGGTCTGGGAGGCCTTTTGGGTGGCCAGGTGTATGCTGCCCGCTTCAGACTTGACGCTCTTTCAGCCGAACTGCTGGACCCGTTGTCAGATCTGTTGGGCAAACATAAGTATCTATTTCGGGGAGATCAGCCCTCGAGTTTGGACTGCTTGGCCTTCGGGTACCTGTCCCTTCTCATCTATCCCCCGGTACCCCAGGCTTGGCTCAGGGAGACGATCCGGGCAAAGTACCCGCGTATAGGGGCATACATTCACAGGCTACATAGAGATCTCTTTCATGAGGAGGAGGTCAACCCTGCTGACATCTGGGCTGTCTCAACCGGCAAATACAAAATTGCGACCAGTACAACACTGCCATGGACGACAAGACCAGCAAGTTTCGGGGCAAGTGCCATGGCCTGTACAAAGGAGATTCTGGGAAACCTGCCTGGCATTACTACACTGTCGCAAAAACGTACCATTGTCACGTCAGAACCAATGGTAGTTTCAAAGCGTCTTCGGTCAGAGCTGCCATCTCCATTATTTCTCGGCAGTGTATTTGGTGTTGCTACAGCAGCTGCAATAGGACTTGCGTCACTGGCCATACATCATCGTCGGTCGCCACGAGAGGGCGAGTTGATTTTCTGGGCACTGCGCCCGACCAATGGCTTGGGTGAGGCTGGCAGCATTCTTAGTGTCTTTGCGAATCAGCTGCACGACGGAGCAATGCAAGGTCATTTTTAGACAATCTGATACCCCATTTCAAGTTTCTTCGATACATTTCATCTTGGGTGTAGCATGAAACTATATCTGTGTAGTGACAAATGATTCAACTTGGACTGCTTCACAAACTTGTGCGTGTTTGTGATTGGCGTGCAGCCCCTGGCTAGACACATTGAGTTACACTTGGTAGTGCTAGAAGCAAGTTGTTTCTTGGTAGCGTGAAAATGGTGGCGCCTAAGCAATGCCGGCCAGAGGCACACAATAACGTCATATATGTCGGCAAGCAAGACTATGATCACTGGCGCCATTGACATCCGGTACATCCTGTGCTAGCACGCGGAAGCAGGGCAAAAGCTACCTGGCTATGTGCAACGATTCCGGTGTATGTGCAGACGACTCGAGATGCTCAGGATAACAGAGGGAAGATGCAGGCAAGGAGCAGCAGCTCGGTTATGCAGGTGGATGTCTAATGTTAACCGGGGGCGGTAGATGCCAATGTGGGAGTGTGGAGGATGTGCAATGATGTGAGCGAGGATGGCGGACGAGCCCGAGGACTAGAGTATGTACGATCAACCCCTCTAAGTGGGCCGGCAGCCACAGCTACGTCATTCATACTGGTCGAACAAAACCGCGGCCTAACCACGACCCATTTGCGCACTGCACTCCACTCCAACAACAACAACAACAACAACACATTGCAACCCACTGTGCTTGACCCCACCGCAAACCCCGCAAACGACACTCGCAAGACAAGATGCACCGAACATACAGCATGCGCCAGTCCCGCGCGCCCACGGCGTCGCAGATCCAGAACCCTCCGCCTCCCACATCCTCGACCAAGAGTGGGCGCTTCTTTGGCAAGGCCAACATCGGTACGTTTTTAGAGAATCGCTTTTCGAGCTTGTCTTCTTCTTTGGCCCTCTTTGGCGCAACATGCGCATAAGCGCTGCGCTCAGCAGTGCCACCGGTTTTCAGCGGCATGGACTACCGGATCGCCTATTCTCCATTCTTGTATGCTTCATGATATGAAACTGTAGCTAATTGTCGCCATCGAATTCAGGCCACACATTCCGGCACAAGTCCGCCGGCGCCTTCGGTCCCGATCTTGCCAAGAAGCTCTCACAACTCGTCAAGATGGAGAAGAACGTTATGCGCAGTATGGAACTGGTTTCGAGAGAGCGCATGGAGGTTGCAGTAAGTCTACCCAGTGTTTTTGTTTGGGACTCGATAAAATGCTTACTCGCTTCTAGCAACAACTTTCCATCTGGGGCGAGGCTTGCGACGACGATGTGTCTGATGTCACTGACAAACTCGGTGTCCTCATCTACGAAATCGGTGAGCTTGAGGACCAGTATGTAGACCGCTACGATCAGTACCGTGTGACGATCAAGAGCATTCGCAACATTGAGGCTTCTGTCCAGCCCAGCCGTGACCGTAAGTCAAATACAGTCTCCAGTTGTTGAACAAAGCTAACAATCATACAGGCAAGCAGAAGATTACCGACCAGATTGCTCAGCTGAAGTACAAGGAGCCCAACTCCCCCAAGATTGTTGTCCTCGAGCAAGAGCTTGTCCGCGCTGAGGCCGAATCCCTGGTCGCCGAAGCCCAGCTTTCCAACATCACTCGCGAGAAGCTCAAGGCTGCTTTTACTTACCAGTTCGATGCCATGCGGGAACATTGCGAGAAGCTTGCTATCATTGCTGGCTACGGCAAGCACCTTCTCGAGTTGGTCGACGATACCCCAGTAACTCCCGGCGAGACACGCCAGGCCTACGATGGCTACGAGGCTAGCAAGGCGTACGTCATGATTATTCCTCTCTATTGAGCCGTGCACTAATATGCGATAGAATTATCCAAGACTGCGAGGATGCTCTTACCAACTGGGTCTCTCAGAACGCTTCTGTCTCTGCCAAGCTCTCTCAGCGATCCCGGACCCTTTCCCAGCGCCGCCGCAACCAGAGCCGTGGCCACGGAGAGGGTGTCGATCTTTCTGGACAAGACCAAGCCCTTGATCGCGAGTCTGGTCTATGGATCCCTGCCTCTGAGCACCAAGGTAACGGCTACGAGGACCGTGACGAGCTTGACGATGAAAACACGTCCACGATTGCCAGCGAGCACCATCGCGGCCGGGAAGAGGAGAGAATGGTGGCTGCTTAGATGCATTATTGACGGCCTTGGGCAGTGTTCCACTCTCTGTCAACTAATAGTTCGTCTTTACAAGGACTGACGATGTATACCCCTGATGGAATGGACAATGACACTGTGAATATAGCTCCGCCTTTCGAATCTCATATCGCTCGAGCTATGTAAAGGGAATGTTTGTTTTTGGATAGTTTGCTCTCACGTAAAGTCGGGATGTTCCCTTTATGGATGCACAGATAGAATGGCTTTGTTTGTTTATTTCAAACCATTTTCAGTAATGCGGAACGTTTTACAGATTCAAGTGCAGAGCGAACAATTTTGTAATAAAGTTAATTCTTACATATGCTTGTCTAATGATGAAAGTCTTTTTGTGTTTTTCGCCGTAGAATCCGAGTCCATCAATGGAACTGCTTGCCAAGAAACCATTCACTCCGGATCATCAAAATTCCCGGTATCCGATAGAAAATCCGATCATTCCAACTCACAAAACTTGTTTTCATGTCTTGTTTTCTTGGCTGTTTTTTTTGGTGGTCTTGCTTCATCGGCTTTTTCGCCGAACTTTCGCTTTCTCTCTCCCCCCACTTAATTCTTTTAGGGCCGCTCGTCACATTCACTGATGCGGATGGCAAATGATCCCGAATTTTGACTCGAGTCCCTTTTCTATTATTACATCTCGTATTTGATCAGATACATTTACTGTTGGGGGTTTTGTTGGGAGAAGAGGGGGGGCCCTGAAGAATCTGGATATCACGATGGTAAGAATGGATGGAGAGAATAGGCTAAATTGGGGGCAAAATATGGTCAGACTAATGGGTTTCGATAGCCAGATATTGGCATTTGGGAAGATTTTGACTCGGTGATTGGTAATGGAATAGTGGATGGTGGTAGAGCCGCTCGTGGTTTGGGATTTATCTGAAGAATGGATTGAGGAGGGAGTGAGTACATGCACTAATAACCCAGCCTAGCTTGACCTATACCACCCTGCTTTGCCTCACGTGACACTGCTGTAATGACATGCGGGGTGCCTTAGGTATTATCGATTGCACACGGCGTTACCCCGAGGTGGGGGTGGGGACCAGCTCGGTGTATATTAACATCAACCCGAGGTGGGGGGCTAGGCAGCTCAGCGGCATTGCTAGATTGAGTAACTCTTTAAACTACCCTTTCGTGTATTGGAATCCTAATTGTACATACCACCCTGTTCTGTATTTACCCAGGCTCCATCTATTCCCTTCCTACTCTTCTATTTTTTTTTCTTCTTCGTCTTCCTACCAAAGACATTCCATCAAGAAAAAAGGGAGTCTTAAATACCACCTACCTAACAGACAAACCCCTCCACCCATCGATTCCTCCCCAAAAAACACACCACACTTGCCCCTCCAGAACAACGACCAACAATGTCGTCGAAACCACAAATTGGCTTCTGCGGCCTAGGAGCCATGGGCATGGGCATGGCCACGCACCTCGTCAAGCAAGGCTACCCCGTCACCGGCTTCGACGTCTACCCACCTTCGCTCGAGAGATTCGCAAAAGCCGGGGGCACACCGTCGAGCTCCCTGTCCGCCTCCGCAAAAGACAAGCCCTTCTACATCGTCATGGTCGCCTCAGCCGCGCAAGCCCAACCCGCGCTCTTCGACACCGACGGCATCGTAAACGCGCTTCCCCAAGGTGCAACGCTGCTGCTGTGCTCCACCGTCCCCAGCGCGTACGCGCAGGCGGTCGAGAAGCAGCTTGTGGACATTGGGCGGTCGGACATTGCCTTCATCGACGCACCGGTGTCTGGGGGCGCGATTAGAGCGGCCGACGGCACACTGTCCATCATGGCGGGTGCGTCTGCCGCGTCGTTTGAGAAGGGCCAGTTTCTCCTAGAGGAAATGAGTGCGCCGTCTAAACTCTTCATTGTGGATGGCGGTGTTGGCGCAGGGAGTAATATGAAGATGGTGCATCAGGTGCTTGCTGCCATCCAGATTCTGTCGCTGAACGAGGCGTATGGGTTTGCGGCGCGGATGGGCGTTAATGGACAGGAGTTATATGATGAGGTTGTGGGCAAGAATGGGTCCAAGGCGTGGAGTTGGATGTTTGAGAATAGGAGTCAGAGGACGTTGAAGGAGGATTATTTCCCCGGGGCGAGTGCTGTGACGATTATCTTGAAGGATACGGTATGTCTTTCCCCCCATCCTTCTCTCTCATTCTGTTCTTGCTAACATCGATATTCAAAAAAAGGGCATCATCACCTCCTCAGCACGCGCCGCAGCATTCCCTACAACCCTCTGCTCTGTCGCAGAACAAGTGTACTTCTCCGCCCTCGACCGCGGCTGGGGCGCAAACGACGACGCGGGTCTCGTCCGTCTCTGGACGCCCGATCCCGTCACTTCCATCAAGTCCGATCTTTCTCCCGAGGAGAAAGCCCAAAAACTGCAACACGCGGTGAATCTCCTCACAGGTATCCATCTCGTTGCAGCGGCCGAAGCTGTTTCCCTCGCCAAACACGTCGGTATCCCTCTGCCGCAGTTTTACACGCTCGTGTGCGATGCCGCGGGTGGCAGCACAATGTTCAAGGAGGCGGGCCAGAAGATGATTGAGATTCTAGAGGGTAAGGAGGATGGAAATGGAAGCGTACTAGGAGGTTACGTGGAGACCTTGAAGTTGGCGGTTGAGGAGGCGCAGAATATCAAGTGCCCCGTGTATCTTGGTTCTGCGGCGTTGAACAAGTTACTGGAAAGTGGGAAACAATTTAGCTTGAATGGGCTTTTGGGATGTTATTTGAAGTAGGCTTCTTTGATGAGATTATGAAGTGTTTCTTTTTTTTTAAAAAAAAAATAGAGGAATAAATTGTATTTTTTTGGGGAGGGGAGGGGGGAATGTGATAGTAAATGAAGAGGGGAAATCTGTCTCCTCACTCTTCGAAAACGAAGTGTCGAAATGCATTATCATATCTTTTCTCACTCTCAGCTACATTCACGCATGCATAGTACCACTAGCTTAATGAATAATTGAAACATCTTGAGAACGAAAGAATGCAAAGGATTTGTAATAACAGTGACATGTATTTTACACAATCTGAGGAAGTTTAGTAGAATATGGAATCTCGACTTGATTTGCAAAACGGCAAAGTCACTCAGTTGAGTGGTTTGAATTGGAATAAACATGACCAATGACATCAGATGGACATGGGATCAAAGGGAAGACCCAAGCAGAACATCATCGTGAAGTAGCTTTGAAGGCATAACTGAGATTACGATACGGCGCACATCTTTCTCTGTCGCTTCCAAATCAACTGCTCACTCTACTCCCTTTCTTGGGCCATTTATGAGTGTATCTGCTCCTTCCATGGCTGTGCCTGCTGGTATACCAAGCAGTTCAACACAGATAACCTTGCATGTTGTACAACAGGCACTGGGCGTGAATTCCTCGCCATGATAGCCCACGCACCTGCAAAACGTTTTAAGCTGGCCTCATGTGCGAGATTCCGGGAAAGGGCTGCGAACGGCCCCAGACGCGGTTTCCTTTCCGAGTGTCCCTGGAAAAGGCAATCGTGCGCTCGCCGTTTACGAGGGTACCCCCAAGTGCTCGACTCTCGAAAGCCCCTTGGTACGCATGTCTTACGACATATCCCAAGTCAGATGCCCGAAGGTCGGTCTCGGTGGGGAAGCCCACTAGTAACCCCTAACTCTTCCTACAAGAGTCTGTGATACTTTCTCAAATACTACATTCCCTCATCTGAAATCATGTTCGCATCGCCATTTCCAAATCCCTCGTCTCCTTGCTCAAATCTTGCACATCATCTTGAGCCATTGTCTGCGCACTGGCTTCCAGATCTTTTATAACGTTCTCCAACCCTCTGACTAGCGACTCAATCTCCGCACGCTGCGCCGTGACGGTCGATAGCAGCTCCGTGTTGGCTTGTTGCGTCTCGACAAGCTTGGTGTTCATGGCGGTGGCTTGCTTCTCAAGGAAGGGCATGAGATGGGCCAGGTGGATCTCGGCAGGCGAAAGGGTGTGAGGTCTGCGTAGTGTTTAGCATTGTGAGAAGAAACAGGTCGGCGCAACATGTAGTACTTACGGCACAGGCGTCTCCACGGGTCCTCCGTTTGCGCTCTCTTCCGCACGTTTCTTCCGTAGTCTTGCATCTTCTATACATTGATCCAGAGAGTTGAGCAGTTTAACCACATTCCTCCTCTCCATGATATCCTCAAAGTTGCTTTTCCATGTTCGATCAAGCTGGTCAACGATCTGGCCCCTCAGATTATCCAGAACCTCTGGGCTATATTGCGCGGCGGTGGGGAAGCACGAAGCAAAGTTCTTGGCCGAGCACTTGTCTAGAGTGGCTTTCGAGGCTTGGTTGAAGACATTGATTAGACCTTGCGCGCGTGGTCCAGGTGTCTCTGCGATGGGTCGGGCAGGTGTGGGAGAGGGCGAGCGGGAATTGGGGTTTGTAGCAGCAGGCATCATGGAACTGTTTTTCAAGACAAGTTGGTCTCGAATGTGCTACTAGCAGGTGTGTGGTTGCTGTATCACAACCAATACCGGCTATGTTTACTCTACAACACGCTAACTACGCACGTGACGACGCGCATCGCTACGATGCCCCCACTTCCCCGCGCCTATGCTACGTAGCCATGCGCTGACGTGATGAGGCTTCACCAAAAAAAACATCGTTCCTGTCTATTGCTCGAACCTGAATTCGACAATTAAAGAACTTTGGCGACCAATATTAGATATTGGGTCTACCTAAGTCAAGAGCACCTTGTAGTTGTCGACTACATATAAAACGAGTCGCTTGGTATCTTAGCATGCCGACAAGGGGAAAGGATTGAATCAAATGTATGCCATTGGATGTCAGATGTCACATGTAAGTAGTTGTATTGGGACAATTATCGTACACGAATACATAAAAAGGCCTTACTTAGCTTCAAAGGACTGTGGGATTCTGAGCGTCAAAGCTTCAGTAGAGAAATTACACAAGCCGATGAAAGCTAAACATACTGTATATTGAAATAGACAGAGCGGCAATCTGTATTCTAAGCGTTGTGGTTCCTCCCACTCTTTTCGTTTTCATATCCATTTAAACTCCCGAGGCCAAACGAGAAGATGAGCAGCGTTTCACACTTTCTCTTGGATTGTGAAGATGTCCCCATCGATTATTTCCTGCGATACTTAGGTCCTGGAATGACAGCTTTTGTCTTAGGTTGTCCGTCCTTGCTGGTGCAGCGAGTTGGGAAGCGGAGTGGTGTGGGGGCGCTCACGTGAGTGTATGTTCCGTGACGCAGGGCCAACGCATGCCGTTTTCATGAGTTACGATCCTTCATTCTACAATAACATAACAGTATCTTTGGCACACAAAGTGAAAACACCACAAGATCTCCATATCGAAATTGCCGCGTTATGCATCGGCTGGATGACGTCGGCGCAACCTGCATGCCAATGCGAACACTGCCGCCGCCACCATCCTGAATCCTGCGCTTATATGTCCCGAACCTTCCCCTCATCTCTTCGAGTGGTGATACGGTATTTATCTGGACACTATATCGGAAATCAACATGGACGAACTGCCCTCGTACGAAGCTGCAACTTGTCCCAATGCTTGGACACTCATTGCGCCGTACCTGCCTTCCCAAGCACTATGCTCTGCAACGCTGGTCTCCCGAGAATGGAACAAGATTTTTACACCGTGCCTCTGGGGAAGTCCAGCCTCTCATTTTGGAGAACAGAATGATGTTGTTTTTGGTATAGAAGAATGACGCAGGGAGCACGAAATACCTACTAACTCACACATCAGTGGCTCTGACGCGATTCAAGCGTATTCTGCCCAATGCGCGCGCTTCTGTGTGTGAGCTCACGCACACGCTCTGTCTTCCCCCTGCCCATGCCGAAATATATTCTGGTCCGCATTCAGAGTGGCTTCGAGACTGTCTGGAATACCTCCCTTGTCTCCAATGTTTGATAGTCAATGGCCTTCCATTTTTTGACCATGCGAGCCTTCTTAGCCTTCGCTATCCAAGCCAACGACTAAGGCCTAAGTTTCCAGTATTCAGTTTGAGACTGCTTGATGCCTCAGGCTGTATGAATGCCACATCAGCAGGGCTTGCAGAAGCTCTTCCGCATTTCCCTGATCTTGTATCTTTGGATTTGTCCAAAACTAGAGCCGCTAGAGGCAAGGCGGTACTATCTGCTCTCAAGCATCTTCTCAACTTACGTGTTATCAATCTCTGCGGTATTGGCCTGAAAGATGAAGATTTCTCCATAGTCGCACATTCGATCAGAAGTCGGGTCAGAAGTCTTGATATCAGCAACAACCTCTTGACAGATACCAGTACACGACTTCTCCTTGAACTCTGCTTGAAAGAGAGAGTAATTACTCCACATACGCACCGGGGTCGTTTGGCACCTGTTGAGCAAGAGCAAGGGGATAATGAAATGGATGTATTCGAGTCCGAGAACCTTGTAGGAAGTCTTCGTAAAAAGCTTACTGGAGGTTTCGTTGGCACATTGCCAATCGAGGAAGCACGAGATGTTGGGATATCACATCTCTACTTATCAGCAAACAACATCACCATTGAAGGAATTTCTTCTCTGTTACGATCAGGGCGTCTTAAGGTTCTGGACGCAGGCATACTACCTGTTACAATCAGAAATCCTTGTCCTGTCGACCCAGGTTCTGGAGAAGACGACATGAAGTTGCCGAGTGTAGCCAAGTTGGTGCCCATCCTGTCCAGATTCGCACGCCACAAGTTGGGCTATGTCAGACTCAACTATCAAATAGTGACGGAAGATGCTCCCATAGAGAGAGCTAAATCGCCACGTGCAGAACTTTGTGGAGGACTTGGGGCTCATGAGCGTCCAGAAGCTCATGAGCTTGAAAATACAGAGTTGTCAATGCCTGAACTTGACTCAGAGTTCACCACTATCCAGGAAATCGCAGATTCATACCCAGTCGAATTGCCTGGCTCTTTCCCCTCAGATGGATTGTCGAATCATGCGTCTTCAAGCACAGCCGCCAGTGATCACAAGGTAGTGGCTGCACCAAGTCCAGCTCCCATCATTACTTCGCAGCCGTCGTTGAGCCAACAAGAGTCCCCAAATTACCCCAATCAGACGCGCTTGCCGTTATCCCCAACCAGTCCTCTTCATCAAAGCTTTGAAAACCACAGAAGTAGTGGCGAGGGAGACTTGTTCCCATCATGGAGTCCTTCGCGGCTTCCGCCCACACCTACCCCCGATATGCAATTCCTGTCTGCACCTGTTCTTGAAACGATATGTCAAGAAAATCCCCTTATTCAGGTTGAAGAGATGGAAGCTCGGCTATCCTACCGCCAATCACAAGAACCCCGTCTGCATCCAGGAATGCTACCCAATCTGCACACTCTGGTTCTCACCAGTGTACCTATCGCAGCTGAAAAGTACGTGGTAGACCGTGTCATTCAGTTTATCAAAGATGCAGCAGATGAGGCCTCTATTGCTAGACAACGAGCCAGAAACACTTATGCGCTCCCTCCAGGCCGCAGGCGTACCTTGGCTGAAGAGGAGTATGCGCGCAGTTTATTTGCCCTGCGACGGATTGTCCTAGAGATGGCTTCTCCGCAGCCGATACCTAAGAAGATATCTACAAGCTGGCGCGCTTATCCCACGAAGTCAACCACTGAGGATGCTGATTCAGAGGCCTTTTGGGAAGCTGCGTCGCACGACTTTTCATTCTTCGGTGATGAAGAGTGTGGACAGCCCAGTCAGCAACTGGTTCGTCAGCTGCCTTTAGAAGCCATGAGCGGGCTAGAACTTGCTACTGATCATACTCACCCAGCTCCTGAGTCCAGGAAACCTGAAGTTAGCCCCAGAAGATTGTTTGATGTGATAGGAGAGATCGGTAAGTTTCGAAGAGAAAGGAAAACTGCCTATGACGAGCTGCTAGCGACAGGTGAGGTTAATCCCGATGTCAAAGGTTACTGGCCTGGAGACATCACTGTTGTGAGAACGCCACTGAATGCGGAAGTTGGAGAAATCGATTGTTATGGAAATCGATACGAGTCTGGGTGGTACTATCGGTGATTGCTCTGCAAACATGGGAGAAAAGGAAGCTGTGCGATGACGTATTGCATAATACGGAGAAGAGGTGTGATTTGACACGATACAACATAGCAAGCCTGGTAACCAACTCTGAGCTAACGAGCATGTCAACGGGGAGCTTCATCTCTCTTTTGCCCGACTAGGATGGGCCCTTAGTGAAGCAGAGTATTTTGTCAAGGTTGCTTCAGTGCAAATGTGTGAGGAGACCAATCGGAAAAAAATCAAAGTTTCTGAAAGATTGCATGCGAGGGTCGCGGGAAAAAAATAAGGCCAACGCTCGTGCCGGATTATTCGCAGTATTAACAGAACAGTTCGCATGCAACCCACAATAGTCCCGTAGTGGTTCGGTATGATGACTAGAATAGTATTGATTCTCCGAGCGGGGCAGCTTCCTGACAGTTGTAACGGTTATTTGTGGAGCTCATGGGATATGGGATGACGGGCAGCCCAGTATCGAATAGTAGTTTAGAGTAGGCCGTCCGGGCGTGGGTGCTTTGTGGCATGCCTGGATCATTGCGTCTTGCGAACTGGTCCACCTGCCGTCTTGGCACACTAACCGGATCGGTTATCACCGGGCTGGATCTCACCAAGCAGGGCCATCGCATTATCACGCTTTTGCACAGATTCAATGCACACGCTGTCTTGTCAGGCTACTCGGTGAGATACGCAAGTCGCCGGCGCGTTATTCTGCGACCTCGAGCCCACCCTTGCCGGCTTCCCAACACGCCACGCTGTCTACATGGCGCCAATCGACACTCCACGACCACGCGTGAGAAGTACACGACCACACCGGCGATACATATCCGACTCGGCTCCTGTCAACAAGCGGCGCAAGTACATACCAGGCGGCAGAGGGGGCGGTGGACAATACGTCGACTTTGAAGGGCCAGAAACACCCGGGTATAGCTACACGGGTGCCCGCAGTCGCGCAGGGAGACAGGACCTTTCCGTACCAGCGCCATCACCTTCATACTCTCGACCCCGACGCGAACGGCCGTCAGCTGGACCTCGCTCCAGTTCGGCCGCTGCAGTTGCCGCCGCCGTGGCTCAGAACGACGGGTTCAAGCCGCGTGAAGAGAGATCTTGGGATGAATTCCACCCGGATCTCGACATAGATGCCGAATTTCCGGTCTATAGCGCAGACCAGATCGATGGCATCAGTCCTGCAGAGAGTGCCTCCGGCACTCCACAGGACGTCTCGTCTAGTGGCCAATATGCGATTGATACGGGTCTTTCCGCCGTCCTCGATGGCATGCGGGCACAGCAGGTGGAGACTGCCGAGCAAGAGGATGCGAGTGCATTTGTGACGCCAAAGCGACGCCCCGGACGGCCCCCGCGCGACAGGCACTCTATGCTCGCGGGATTGGGCTCCCCTCCTCGACCGCGCATTAATCCACTTCCGACGATGAACCCCCGCGAGAAACTGAATTTACCCAAGCCGTCAGTGCGCCAAGTAGACCCTTTCAAAGAGCACGAGGAAAGCGAAGGTGTCAAAGTCAACTATGTGGATAAGACCATGGCAAATATTGGCTATCAGGAGAGCGAGGTCTTTACAAGAAGTTCGGAGAATAGCCTGATCCGACTTCCTGAAGGCTCAATCGAAGAAGACCTCGATCTCACATTGCAGACAGAGGCTGAGGGAACTACTGGCGCAGTCGCCATAGGTCGCGTAGAGTACGACATGGACGAACAGGATGAACGATGGTTGGAAGCGCTCAATGTGCAGAGAAAAGAAGAAGGCGTCGAAGGTATTAAACCTGCAATCTTCGAGGTCACCATTACTCAAATTGAGAAAGAATGGCATGCGTTGGAGAAGCGTAAGTTGGGCCGAGGTCGATTCATGTCCATAGTGCGCTAGCTGACGTGTAAAAGGCATACCTAAACCAAACCCCAAGCCGCCACAGACACATCGCCCACGATCTAGCAGTGCGGCCGCTGTCAACGGCGAGCCTGCCGGACAAGGCGAAGAACAGGATACAAAATGTGCCATTTGCGATGATGGCGATTGCGAGAACACCAATGCTATAGTATTCTGCGATGGCTGCGATTTGGCTGTGCATCAAGAATGTTACGGCGTGCCCTTTATTCCAGAAGGCCAGTGGCTATGCAGACGGTGCCAACTAGTAGGGCGCGGTACGCCTGCGAGTGAGCTTCCGGTACGTCTCGTCAATGTGCACTCTCCTATGCGTATACTGATTGTTACAGGGTTGCATCTTCTGTCCAAATGTAGACGGTGCCTTCAAACAAACCACGACAATGAAGTGGGCACATCTATTGTGCGCCATGTGGATTCCAGAGGTATCCCTTGGTAATGCAACTTTCCAGGAACCAGTACAGGATGTTGAAAAGGTGCCCAAAACACGCTGGAAGCTGGTAAGATCACGATGCCATATTCACTTCTACATCAGACTGACCAAAAATACAGTCATGCTACATCTGCAAACAGAAAATGGGCGCTTGTATCCAGTGCGGGCACAAGTCGTGTTTTGAGGCTTTCCACGTGACATGTGCGCGCAGAGCCAGACTGTGTCTACGCATGAAGGCATCACAGTCGGCAAATGCACAGGATGCAACTGTGCTCAAAGCCTATTGTGACCGTCACACTCCATCTGACTGGAAGCGGGAATATGATGTTGAGAGCGCAATTGCAGATGCAAAGGCCTTTTACCGCCATACAATGCGCCATGTCCGATGGCCAGACAGCCAAGCCTACGCCCTTTCCATCGGTTCATCGCATGCGATGCCTTCCATTGAAGGGCCAGATGACGATGGTACAGGCTCCAACAAGCGCAAACGCGCATCAGGCACAAAGTCCTGGAGACTTCCGTCTGGAGCCCCCGTTGTTCCTCAGGCCGTATACCACAACGTCGAAAATACGCTGATAAGATTCAACATTCGTAAGCGAAAGGAGTTTGTGCAGGATGCTTGCAAATACTGGACACTGAAGAGGGAGGCACGACGTGGTGCTGCTCTCCTGAAGCGCCTTCAACTCCAAATGGAAGCCTTTTCATCCATGGAGATCACTCGTCGTAACTTTGCAGGCATGGGCGCAGCTGGCAGACCTCGACTTCAGCGACGCATTGAATTTGCAGAGCGTCTTGAAGATGACATGGAACAGATTCGTGTGCTTTGCGAAATGGTCAAACAGCGAGAAGCTGAAAAGCTCAAAGATGTCCTCATCTTGCAACAGATTGTGGACTGCATTTACTTTCCCATTCCGACACTACTGCAGCCCATTTTGGCTCGAGCACAAGCGTAAGCAGCCCACCATGCACTCTTGGCTGATCTTCTACTAACCTTGTATCAGACTCGATAGTCGAGGCTACTTTAGCGACGGATTCAATCACCTTCAAACCAGACTTGACGAAAAGTTCTACACATCCGTCCAGGCGTTTAATGACGACATGGCAGCGGTCTTAAGCGCTGAACTTGGGTTTGCTGCTGTTGCCAACATCAGTGATGCTGAACAACAACTAAACCAGGTTTCTCACAACAGTCTGACACCTGAGCAGAAAGAGATGAAGAAAATTGTCAAGCGAATCACCAAAGTCTTACAACCTAGCTTTGAAGATGCAATGCGAAAGGAGTCCGAGTTGGCTGGCAGGCCGTATGAAAAACTACCCGACCTCGAGACGCTCCTCAACCAGAAGCTTCAACGCAGGCCCAGTGTTCTCTCACACGACGAAAACATTCGGCAAACCACTGAGATGGATCAGCCAAGTATTGCACAGGCTCAAGAAGATGCTATCGACGGAGAGGAGGCTGCTGTAATGGGACAGAAGCCCGAGGAGATGCAAATGGCGCCCACACCTGACGAGAACGCTGCTGATGCAGATCGGATACATGATGAAGCGGCTGACGAGGCAGCAATTGCTCTACAGCTCGGCCAAGATGCATTACACGTGTCAAGGAATCAGTCACAAAGTGATGCTCTCGCAGAAAACCATGCTCATGTCAACGGCCGCTCAGAGCCTCTGACTCCTCCGAGATCTGAGAAGAACCTGCTCAACCCGCTGGGTAACGGCGGTGTGCCCTGGTACCTTGAGACTTTCGACGTGCACGGCACCACCGTGTATGAGGAAAGATACACGGGCCGTGAGGTGCTTCGAGACATGAGCGAGGAATTGAGCGAGCTCGACGACGATGAATTGGATGGCCTTGCTGACTCGGATCCTGTTAGGCCTGTAGACACGTCTGATGCAAACGTAGCGGCGATCAAGAAAGCAGTGGCACGCAAACGGCAGAAGCGATCGAGGGGTTGGTAGGTAAGTGTGGTGGATACTGTATTCTTTGTTTTCTTTTTACTTTTCTTGCGCATGGGCCACTCATGTCGCATCTTGTATTATCTTTGGCATTTGTAATATACCTTCTTGGGGGGTTGGAAGGTGTACTGCAGGCGTACGGCGTGTGGCGTAAATTTCACAGCGGGGACTGGTCAGCGCATGTCCATGTGTTGTTTCGGGCAGGGTATGTTTGATATGGCGCAACTGGTTGGCTGCTGGCTGCACGGGATCCTATAGGCAAGGGCAACGAAGTGTCGGGTGCAAGACGCCTGAATATGAATTTGAGTTGACGATTCGAATTGCCGGTCATGGCCCGTCTGGGTAAAGACGTTGAGAGCAGATGTGGATGAGGAGCCGAGCCTCACGGGCCGGCTAGCAGAGTTGCTGCGTGGCCGGTGCCCCTAGCGGTTGCCTCACTCAGCTGCCTGGTGCTTTGTCGTTTTCATGCTTCGTACAAATAGCAGCCAGTCTCGCTTTGTGCATCGACTCCCCTTCACCCTCCTCTTCCACTTTTACTCCACTTCAGTGCAGCACCGGTCATTTTAGCGCGACGCTTACTAAGTGAGACGCGGCTACGGTCGATCAGCCCTGCCAAAAAAACCGCCTAAACTCCAGCTTCAGCAAACACCTTTCCTCAACCAACAAACTCCTGACCCACCACGACATCATCACCATGGAGTACGAGAACGAACAGCGCCC